CTTACCGAGGTATAGGCTGGTAGGCGGGTAGTGGGTTATAGGTAAGCACGTAGGGCATATTGCGAAGTGGCTCGCCGAAATCCATACCTGCCCGCCCGGCTATTCCCACCGTTGATGGAGCGAGCCATGGCTTTAAACAAGCCTTTCAACCTAGCTTTGGCACACTTGTCTTACTTAGCACGTGCCTAGGTAGGTCCTGTAGGGAGGTGCAGAGCTTTTTGGTCGCTTCCCCTGTGGTGTCTGTGGTCCCTGTCGCCTGGCCTCGGGCAGTTCGTTCGACCAACTCTCCGTGCGAGAAGATCCCAGGAGGAGCCAATTGACGATCCCAATTTCCCAATCTTCCCATTTTCCCACCGCCTCCTCAGGATGATGGGATGTGATACGAGGTACACGTACGACGAACAATGAGGGAGAAAAGGGAGAGGCCATGGTGGACTTGTGCCCATGCGTGAATGCATGTATGCATGTATGCATGCAGACACCTTACATATATACTACTATAAGATAAACAGAGGACATCATAACGCCCCAGCAATCACTTCAGGTGATGTATGGGAGTTGAACCACCCAAGCCTTTCGTTTGATTAGTTTGGAGTCTTTACTTTTTTTCCATCTGAGACGCGGTTTAATGCTCTGGGGCCATGAGGGCGACGTTGGCTTTAATAACCCTGTTGGGTAGCACGACGGTGTCGGCTCTGTGAGTATTACCATCATAGCATTTTTCTTGCACCAGGACGTGGGAGGGTGACCTGACTGGCTAACAACTCCTCCAGAACATCGGCACATAGACATTCACATAATAAATTTCACAGACGCGACGACAACAATATAACACAGACGATTCGAGCGGGCAATACCACCACAGACCCTACCGCATATGATTATGTCGTCGTCGGCAGCGGCCCTGGAGGCGGTCCACTGGCTTCGCGGCTGGCGATTGCTGGGTATAGAGTCCTCCTGATCGAGGCGGGAGACGACCAAGGCGAGGCAACGTGGCAGCAGGTGCCGGCTTTGCAGCTCCAGGCCACAGAGTTCACGCCCATGCGGTGGGATTACTTTGTCAACCACTACCAGGACCTTGCGCGGCAGGAACAGGATTCCAAAATGGTCTGGAAGACTCCCTCGGGAGACGAGTATGTCGGGAGCAGTCCCCCATCTGGCTCGACTCCCCTGGGGATCTGGTACCCGCGCACAGGAACCCTGGGAGGGTGCTCGGCGCATAACGCAATGATCACCATCTATCCACACGAGAGCGACTGGAATAATATCGCGTCAATCACGGGTGACAGTTCCTGGAGTGCCGGGAATATGCGCCAATACTTTGAGCGCCTGGAAAGGTGCAGGTACCTCCCTAACAGTGTCGTCGGCCACGGGTTTGATGGTTGGTACGAGACCAGTCTCACGGAGTTGTCGCTGGCAGTCGAGGACCAGAAACTGTTGTCGCTCATCATCGCGGCTGGGACGGCAATGGGTAAGGGTCTGCTCGGGATGGTGCTCAACACGGTGGCTGGGTTGGGAGAAGTCTTGCTCAGAGACATCAATGCCGGTGTTCCCGGCCGGGACTCTCAGGAGGGCCTATACCAGGTCCCAATTGCAGTCACCGAGGTGGAAAAGAAACGCAATGGTCCGCGCGACTTTATCCTCGACACCGCAAACGCCGTCAACGCAGACGGATCGCGCAAGTACCATCTCGACGTCAAGCTCAACACCTTGGTGACAAAAGTCCGGTTTGACACTTCTGGATCCAAGCCCAAGGCCATTGGCGTCGACTATCTAGAAGGACAAAGTCTGTATCGCGCCGACCCTCGCGCAGGCTCAGCAGCGGGTGGCACCCCAGGTAGCGTCAATGCGAGTCGGGAGGTGATCATCTCTGGTGGTGCGTTCAACTCGCCGCAATTGCTTAAGTTGTCTGGTATTGGACCTGCTTCTGAGCTTTCCAGGTTCGGCATTCCCGTGGTTGTCGACCTACCGGGTGTGGGAACCAACTTGCAGGACCGCTATGAAGCAACGCTTGTGGGAGACAGCAACACCGACTTTGCCATCACCAAGGACTGTACCTTTCTGCGCACTGAACCTGACCCATGCTTGGAGCAATGGCAAACTCAACCAGGTCCCTCGCTCAAAGGCACATACGCGACCAACGGTATTGCAATTGCTGTGATCAAAAAGTCGTCTGTTGCGGATGGGGATCCCGATCTCTTGATTTCTGGTGCTCCCGCATTCTTCACAGGCTACCATCCCGGATATTCGAATGAGTCACTGAAAGACGCACACCACTGGGCCTGGATCATTCTCAAGGCGCATTCGCGAAACAACGCCGGGACTATCACCCTGCGTTCTACCGATCCCCGCGACACGCCCGTCATCAACTTCAATTACTTCGACACAGGGGTCACTACCAACGACGCCGACGAAAAGGACTTGCAAGCCACATACGAGGGCATGGAGTTGTCGCGCAAGATGTTCCAAGACTATATACCGCTGCAGGGCACGTTTAAGGAGGTTTGGCCGGGGAATAATGCCACGACCGAGGCCCAGATGAAGGACTGGATAAAGAAAGAAGCCTGGGGACATCATGCGAGCTGCACCTGTCCTATCGGCGCTGATGACGACGAGATGGCGGTCCTAGATTCTCAATTCCGTGTTCGAGGTGTTGACGGGTTGAGAGTGGTCGATGCGAGTGTCTTTCCCAAAATCCCGGGATTCTATATCGTGCTGCCCACGTATATGATTAGTGAGAAGGCAGCGGATGTGATTCTGGAGGATGCTGCCAGTACGTGAGATCAAGTGGACGCTTGGACTGTTTTGGTCTGCATCATGGGATATGGTGTCAAAATAAGTGTACTTGTTACTTATGTTCTATTGCAGAAACAGTTTTGCGTTGCACGGAAATTCGAAGAGCTTAAGGAACTAAATTGTAGCATCTTTGACGGTGGTAGAGGAAACAGCGAAGAGAATCATAAGGCACTACAGTCCTCACCAAATTTGTAGTTGGTTATACCATTTCAACATCAAAGAAGAAATTGAGCGATGAAGAGTCGAGGAGGTTCATGTATTAAAAGCGGCATGAAATTTGTGCAGTGGACAGAGCCAAGATGGTAAAGCGGCAACTGCGCAGCTCCCAATTCCGACCTCATGCCCGGTAGATCTATTCGCCTGCCTGTTCATCGACGTCGTCTTTACTACAACATTGCAAGCTGCCTTTACTTTCAGAGCTCTCTCGTTCGACTGCAGCTTTATAATTCCTTGCCGCTCATTTAAGTCGTTGAGGCTTGGTATTTCGGACCATGGAAGGTGGGCATCCTCTACTCTCCAGAATTTCACAGCTAATTTGCGACTCAGGCCTTTTGTTCAACGTCAACGGTGGCTATTTGGAGGGTATAGTTCGTGGCTACCGCAATGCGCTACTTACGAGCACGAACTATGGCAATGTATGTGTTCACTGCACCGCGTTAGGACACTTCACTAACAAAGTGCAGCTCACGCAATGCGAAACGATCGAAGACGTCAAGACCCAGCTCGGTCCTGCATACGGCGAGGCGCTCTCAAACCTTCCTCCAAACCCCTCCACGTCGGCCCTGGCAAGCAAGACCACAGAGAAGCTTGTCGCCGACTTCAGATATCTCCAAGGACAGGCGACGGGATCGTTGACAAAATTCATGGAATACCTTACATACTCGTACATGATTGACAATGTGGCACTCCTCATTACCGGGACTTTGCACGAAAGGGATACTAAAGAACTACTGGAGAGATGTCATCCGTTGGGTTGGTTCGAGACAATGCCAGTTCTTTGCGTGGCCACCAATATCGAGGAACTGTATAACTCGGTCCTTATCGAAACTCCCCTGGCACCATATTTCAAAGGAAGTTTGAGCCATCAAGATCTGGATGAGCTCAACATCGAGATTGTGCGGAACACCTTGTACAAAAACTATCTGGAGGACTTCTACCGTTTCGTAAACACGGACCCCGAGATGGCCATGACTCCCACGGGAGAAATCATGTCAGAAATCCTCGAATTCGAAGCCGATCGACGAGCTATCAACATCACCATCAACTCTTTCGGAACCGAGCTGACCAAGGACCAGAGGAAGAAGCTCTACCCCGAATTCGGAAAATTGTACCCAGAAGGGATGCTTATGCTCTCGAGAGCGGACGACCTGGAAGGTGTTGGGCTTGCAGTCAGCGGTGTGGGTGACTACAAGCGATTTTTTGATGAAGTCGGATTCAACCAAAGCAGCGGCGTGGGCGCCGGGAACATGGCTGGAGGCGCGGGCAGTGAATCCAAGTCCCTAGAGGACATGTTCTACCAGAAGGAGATGGAACTCTCCAAGATGGTGTTCACTAGACAGTTTACCCATGCAGTTATATATGCATGGGTCAAGCTACGGGAACAGGTGAGCGCTCCCTCGTTGCGAAAGACACAGCTGCTGACCCTCCGGCAGGAAATCCGAAACATCACCTGGATTGCCGAATGCATCGCCCAAAATCAAAAGGAGAGGATAGGAAACTACATCAGCGTGTTCTAACATGGGTTAGGGTCATTGTCACGTGGGCAGCAACGGCGTTCGGTAGAAGGGGGTCTTACTTTGCGGCCTTCCAGCTTGATAGCTCCAGACCTAATGAACAACTTTTTCAGCAACAAGTCAACAGCGCTTCTTTCAGCTTCTTGCGAAGATGACTTGATCCAACAACTCTCGGAAGGAAGGTACGTCTGCATTTTGGGGTTTCACCTCCCGTCCGTGCAGACAGCCCAGAGCGTGGTTGCCTGAAGAGAAATCATCGACAGCTCACATCAATTGAGGCGCGAATTCATCTCATGAAGTGATTTGAGCCTGCCCAAATCATCGAAACGACCATCTACATTGAACTTATTGTTGATTTTCCGCTCATTTTCGGTGTTATCGTTACCCTCGCGACACAGCTTCACCTGAGACCAACAACCCTTCGTTTGACTGACCTGATCTCACTGCATCAGCAAAGCTATCAAAACCACGATGTTGGACTCTCATCTCTCTACAACACGGTTTCGCAAGGCTCAAAATCTTGAACTGGAACCGATCTCGTCGCCCACAGCATTTCCCTACGAGATCGATCCGGGGCATTGTTTTTCCGAATCTACCCTCAGGCACTCTCCCCTCAAGCGAAGTGATTCCGGATTTTTTGAAGGAACCTGTCAGGTTGAAGAGAAATCAAACTTGTTGGCATGTGTCAAGGATAATAAGAGCCACAAACCTCGTGCCTCAACCCCAAAGTCTCACCCTGGCCAGTCCCCTATACCACAACGATTACGGGAAGTCATCCGACAAGACCTCTGGAACCCCAACACTGTCTGCACGGTGCACCATGGCTATCGTCATCCAGATGTTTCTAATGATAAACGAATCGCCGCGCTCTGCTCACTTGCGGCGAACTCTAGTCAAAACGTGGAGGTTGTCAAATTCACAAGGGCAATTTCTGGGAGCGGAGACGAGGCTCCGATGTTCGAGACTCGCCCGTTGTATGGCCCGGGTGCTCCTAACGTAGAAGCTCGCTTGCAAAAATGGGCCGCTGCACGAGCCATTGCACAGCGAAAACAATCACGCACGAACGTTGCCACAATGAAGAAAAAGCAATGCCGAGCGGATGGAGGACTTCTGGCCAGCTTGCAAGGGCGCATCAACCGACGGCCAGGACGTACTGGGATCGTTCATTGTCAAGTGAACAAGCCTCTACGTTCAGAGAAGATGTTGCTTTCCAGCTACGAAGATGCTTTCAAGGGATGGGATGTTGCCATGTCGAAATCAATCCCCGGCTATGCCGACAACTACAAGAAGAGGCATTGGTACATATCTCAATGGGATAAACCAAGTCCTAAGTGATGGCACAGGTGGTACAGATTAAGGCTATAGCGTTCGGGCATTGGAGAGAATCAGACACCGGTTTTTGTTGTTCTCGCCCTGACCAATTGGTCCAGGTCGATCTCGTCAGTGGTGTAGGGGGCGCTGGTTTTGGCGCATTGATTCGGTCTATCACCCATCTATTGTATGCACAAAATTATCCAATATAAAAAACCATTTTCCTTTGACCGTTCCTCGACTCTCACTCAAGATGCTAACAAGTCTATAGAGGACGCCGAGGAGATGCTAATTCTCCATTTCACTGGAAATTCTTCACCCCAAGGCCTCGTACGCAGCTCCGCCGCCACCATTCTTCGCATCCCTCTTCGCCACCTTGGCCATCCGCTTCATCTCCTTTTCCGCCCTCTTGTCGTCCTTCTTCCTCTCCTTTTTCGCCCTCTTCTCCCGCTTCCTCGCCTTGTCCTCCTCGGAGAAATCGCTCCGGGAACCCTGAAGGAATTTTCCCGGGTTGAAGACGTTCAGGACCAAGAGGGCGAAGAACATGGGCACGCCGTCGAAGACGTACGCGAACCACTCGTGCGTCACGGTCGGGGAGTCTATGCCCGTGCCGAACTCGACGAGGCGGTAGATGTTGCGGAGGATGATGAGCGCGAGGGTGATGTAGAGAAGACGGAGGAGGGGCGTGGCGAGGTCGAGGTCGGGTATGTCGAGGTCTTCTGGTGTCGTTGTAGGGCTGGGGGAGTCGGTCCGCAAGGGCAACGGACGCAGAAGGACAGATTGGTATTGTGCTTCGGTGTCGGTGGTGTAGGAAGCAGGCCGTGACGAGACGAGACGCTGCCTGTATTGCTTGAGGTGCTTGACCTTGCGCTGGAACCTGATCGCCAGGGCGACGAAGATGACGAGGAAGAACAACTGCACGCCCACGCCGCTGGTGTAGATGTTCAGTCCCGTCTGCTGGACCGAGGCACTCACCCCCGGCCCCGTCATGGTGCCGCCGGTCGCCTGGATCAGGAAGGCCGTGATGTCAAAGGCGACGAACATGCGCGTGATGGCGCGGGCCCGGACGCGGAACACGCGGTCATTGCCCTCGGGTAGGAAGAAGTGGATCATCCGCCCCAGCAGCATGTAGATGTACGCGTTGATCCAAAGCGGCGCGAGCAGGATCAGCAGGAGCTGCGCCGTGTAGATGCCGCTGGACAGCTGGTTCTCGATCGACAAGATGCGCGCGACGTAGCCGCCCGTTTCCCACAGGGCGCCCATGATGAGGACCATGGCGAAGGGCTTGCGGTAGATGACAGCCTGGACAATGTGCGCGCAGGTCGTGATGCCGAAGAGGACCGTGAACAGAATCGCGGCTGCGAAGGATGGACAGTACGCCCAGTTGTCGTCGGGTCCTGTGCCTGCGTGGCACACGATCTTGGGCATTTCGCCTCAGAGATTCCTCCCTGTATGGAATTCCCTAGAGGAGTTCTCTTGGAGATAAGTAGTGCTGCTTGAGTGTGAATTGAAGAACCACTGCGCGTAGGCGTGACGAGGTAGTATTTCTCTGCAAGGTAGGGTTGGGAATGTCCTCCAAGGTTGAAGGGAAGGATACAACGAACGGTTTCAATGGAATCATCCATGGTTGATATAGATATAGACCCTCACCTGGGATGTTGGACTGCTGAACATGGCTGCCTGGAAATTGATCAGTGGTACTCGTCTGCGGTCGGTATCAGACAACATCGTGTGGCTCAGTTCTATGCAGGGTTTCAGAAGCCAGTACGAGGTATGTTTCCACTGTCAAAGGCCAGGGCATGAATGAGTCTAGCTCTTACGAGCTCGTCCACCAGCCCGTTGGCCAGCTGTTGGCGACATTTGATGACAAAGGTGATAGTGATGTGGGCGAAGTTCAATACGACTTGGTAAGAGGGCCGCGAGGGGCGGTAGCATGAATTGACCGAGGGGGTAGTTTGGGGGCCGCTTGATGCGCAAGGCTAGGATGTGCGAACGGTCATTGGTCAGAAGCCTCCTCGTATCGTCTAACCTTTCCTGACTAGCGTTGGTGGCCTGGTTTGGAACACTAGCGTCCATGTGTCGTCTGCTCCCTCAGGCACCGGTCCACTCTCGACATCGTCCCTTGCTGTTGCTCTGCCACTCTCGAGGAGTGTCCCTTCACTCAGACCTGGCACCTCTAGCCGCATGTGGCGCTACCGAACTCTGACAGCCCGTCAACACAGTGCAAACTCGGTTGCCTGCGCGGATGCATTGGGGTCCAGGAAATGTCTGGCCGGGACCGTTGATTTCCAGGCAGTGACCAAAGGGGCTGGTGAATTTCCTTCAGCTGTGTCTGTCTGTTCGCCTTGGACACGCTTTGACCTCTGACACAGGCTGATAGACTATAATAACATATGCGACGCTCGACTCGGACACACCTTCATCGAGCCATGAAGACAAAGGGCCCAAAGTCTTCGAAATCATGATCAGGATTGGAAAAACAAAAGTCCGAACTGGTTGCATCACCTGCAAGTAAGTCCAGTTCTAGCCCTGTACCCTAGCTAGCCAGTTCCTGCAGCTATGACATCTCTCTAACGCCGCCGGCCAGACGTCGACGAGTAAAATGCGACGAGACGCGACCCAGCTGCAACCGCTGTGTCAAGGCTGGGAAATCATGTGAAGGATACGCCAACGATCCGAGCTCGGGTCGAGGGAGCGAACCCGTGAAATTCGTCGTGTACACCCCACGCAATCCATCGCCTGTCTTGTCGGAGCAGCCAAACCTCGATTGGTCCGAGCGACGGGCCTTCAGCTACTACCAGGACCGGACTGCGTTGGAGCTTGCCGGTCCCTTCCAGCCGGACTTCTGGCTAGAGACCATCCTGCCACTCGCAAGAGAAGATGGGTCTGTCAGACACGCTCTCATTGCCCTGAGCAGTATGCACGAGCACTATTCAGGGGTCGATCATTTCTCTCCCGCGCGAAGCGTCGACTTTGCACTGAACCACTACGGAAAGGCGATGCGGGAGGTAGTGCGATTCAACTATGCCCAGCTGGATCAGAATCTCGACCGCGCCCTGGTCCTCTGCGCTCTGTTCTCTGCCTTCGAGAGCCTTCAGGGGCAATATCACGAGGCGTGCAACCACGCTGTGTCTGGAATCCGAATCCTGGCCGAGGAGCAACGAAATGCGAGCGCCAGTCCAAACCAACCGCGCCTGCTCCCCCGCGATGACCTCGCCCGCTTCTTCGTCGCCATGGGCAGACAGATCCTGGAAATCGGCGGCCCAAACTTCCTGGGCCCCAAACCGAAGTTTTACCGTACGGGGACGACAGCATCACACATGCCGTACCAGTTCACCTCGCACGAACACGCCCTGATGCACGTAGAATCCCTACTTGCAGAACTCTTCGAGTACGTCGAGAGGGCCGAGACTCTGGCGTACGAGGGCCCTGTACCCGACGACGTGGCCCAGGCCCTCCTGGCAGAGTTCCACGCGATCAAACCGCGATTCGAGGAGTGGCAGGCCGCGTTTGAGAGGTTCTCTGCCGTCGAATCAAACGAATACTCACGAGAGACACCTGAATCTTGCAGCTCGGCCGCCTCGTCGCCCCCGTCGGCGCAGCACGCCAGACCCCGGAGCGCCGCATTTCTAATTCTGCGGGCTTATCAAGCTCTCATGGTCGCGTTCCTGGCACGAGTCGAGTCCAACGACGAGGCCGTGTTCAATGACCACGGAGCAAAGTTTTGGACCGCATTGGACGCGGTGGAAGAGTTCATCCAATGTACCTCTACCTTTGTCAGGCCGGTGGACGGGGGCATGTCGCCTCGACCACCACCGCCGCCACCGTCTGACTGGTCAACGTCAACATCAACGTCAACGTCAACCTCGGCCACGAACGTAGCTCCGGCTTCACAATCCCTCTCACAGCTCCGACCACCACAACACCCCTCGCCCGTGGTTACGCGGCCGACATTCTCCCTCGCCCTCGGCATCGTGCCGACCCTCTTCCTCATCGCCTCCCGGTCCCGCGACCTCGCCCTGCGCGACAAGGCCCTCTCCCTCCTCCGCTCGTGCAACCGGCGCGAAGGCCTCTGGGACTCCCACCTCGCCGCGAGCGTCGTCGACCGTGTCATCGACCTGAGGACCAAGGCACGGTCCCTGAGCCGCGCACAACTCCTCCTCGCCGACGCGGATCTCCTCGCGTACATACAGGCGACAGAGAGACCAAGTGGCAGCGAGCCAAATGCCTCCATTGGGGTCGGGGGAGAGGGCGCCAGCCTCGACGACGACGTAGACTTCAAGTTACTGGACATCACCTTCCTCCCGCGCCGCCGATGTGCATTGCGCTATGCATTCGCCGCGAGACAGGCCACGACGCAAGGACTGCCGACCTCGATGTTGCACGGTGACGTGCCCGGTCACTTTTCCCCCGGCGGCGCAGGCGCGCGTTGTGTCAGGGAGTTTTGCGAGGAGTTGCGGTGGGAGCGATAGCCGCAATGTGTTGTGTGGGGGGGTTTACTCTGGGGGTTTGCTCAGGAGAACAAACGGGGGAGATGGATTGGGTATTGTTGTTTCGATCATGAATATGGGTTGTTAGTGGGCTCCAGGAGTAGCGGCCAACCTCGCATCGAGGGAGTGTTATTAGGGATTACGCTGAATGGCACTGTATACACTATACCCGTGACGGGCAAATGAGATTCTTGGAATAAGCTTCTCATGCAGAGCATATCCATTCAAGAAAGAACGCGGACTTTCCTATCTCCCAACATGCGGCACCACCTTGGGTAGATTGATGTTGTTGGAAGGGTAGCTGGCTTCATAAAGCCGCACAAAGTATTCGTCACGGTCCCCGTCGAGGCCTTCTGTGCTACCAAAGAATCCATAGTCCTGACCCATAAGACGCCATCCGCCTGGTGAAGACCTCTCCAGCACTTGGTTCAAGGAGCTTCGTTTCTTATTTTGCATGTTGTCGCTGTTTGTAGTTTTTTTCTTGGTTGCTCGGACTTTGTGCTCGCGTGGGCGAAACTCGATCTTTGAATGTCGAAACAGAAACACGAGATGGCATTCCAAATGAAAGATCAACGACAATCCTACTCGCCATGATCGTTGCTCGTAAGGAGGAGTACGAGGATCACTAGAGTTTGAGTAGGCTCTAGCAACCAGCTTCGCACATGATTCTTGGACATCACTAATCATATTGGAACAGCACACTGATGCTCTCGCCATAATGCACCCTTCGAATCGCCTATCGAGAAAGATCATGTTAGCATTTGTCACCTGTCCTGTAACCCAAATATCACCACCAGTGTTGAACTCACCTCAGCGAAGACGTGGCCGACCTCGAGCACCTCCAACTTGGGACATCTTCTGACATGGTGCGACTGGTCCACGGTATTGGTGACAATAACTTTATCCAACGCGCTGGCGTTGATTCTTTCAATTGCATCTCCACTCAAAACACCGTGCGTCACCAAGGCATAGACTCTGCTGGCGCCTTCTTTCTTCAGGAGTTTCGCGGCTCGGGTAATCGTGTTGCTCGTGTCGGCCAGATCGTCAATGAGAATGGCAACTTTGCCAGTAACATCGCCGACGAGCATCATGGTTGCATTCTGCCGATCGGTGATCTTGGTGGGTCTCCGTTCTTTGTGAATCAGTGCGAACTCGATTCCTAACGAGTCGGCAATGGCAGTTGCTCTTTTAGCGCCTCCAGCGTCGGGACTAACGACCACTCCATTTCTGTAATCTGGAATGTTTTGCTGGATATACTTCTTCAAAATCGGCCGGCCGTAAAGATTGTCAACAGGAATGTCGAAGAACCCTTGATACTGTGGATCGTGAAGGTCCATGGTGATGATGTGATCTGCGCCAGCGCAGGTCAACAGATCCGCCACAAGAGTACCTGCTTGAGCAACCCATTGTCGATAGCCCGGTCGAGGTTTGAAATTGTCTTGCGGATCTATTTTTGGCGGTGGAGCAAAATCATAATTTGCAATGCCGTTGGTGGCTGACGCTGCCGAATCCCCTCGTTTCCGTTGGCTTGGAAAATAGTCCGACTTTGTTGACGAGTGTGAACTTACGTCCCGGTCCCGGTAGTGGCTGAAGCGGGCCTGGTACGTAGGGCTGTTCTCTACCTCATCGAGCTGTGACTTTGAAATTGCTTTGTGCAAGGGATGTCCGTTGGCTAGGCCTTGGCTTTCAGTCTTATCTGGATGTGGAGTTGGAGGAGTACTGTCGAAGGTGTAGCCATTCGCGTCAGGAACCAGCTTATTGGACGCATTCGATGCCTTAACCAGAGGCGCACCGCTCTTGTTGTAGGGTATATCGGACTGGCGAGAATACGGGAAGAGTGGTAGGACAGCGGTGACCTTTTTCGCGGACGCAGTCTTGCATGCCGAAATGGCAATCAGAAGCTCGACGAAGTGGTCATTCACCTTACCACCACCAGATTGTATGATATAAACATCTTTTCCCCGGACCGACTCGCCGATCTCAACCCTGGTCTCTCCAACTGCGAACTTGGAGAAGAGAGCTTGACCAGGTGCAATACCGAGAATCTCGCAGATAGTTTCTGTCAAGGTTGGATGGGACGACCCTCCGAACACGACAATGTTTCTGACCATGGTGTCGCAAACAAAAGGTCCAGTGAAGTGGCTTACAGTGGTAGGCAAGGCAAGCTCGTAGAATCTGACGGGACAGGGCAAGGCAGAGTCAAGGGATCAGACCACAGGCGAGGGGTGGGATACGTGAAGTCGACCTTAGAATAGGCAGCCTAATGTGGGCCGTGAGGCCAAGGAAGTCGGGAAAGTCAACCTGGTGGTTGACATGATATAAAAGAGGAGAGAAAGAGTCAGTTCGCAGATTGGAAAAGTTCAACTCCAAGGTAAAGTGCAGTTGGTGGTTTGCTCTCCCCACGAAACTTTTTGTCTCGCCCCACCTTCCGCGTCAGATCCGCTAGATTTCCCGAGGTTCCAAAATGTCGTCATTTCATTTATTGTCCATCGAGCCATGCACGCCATGTCGTTGGGTGCGTTGGATGTGGCTGCAGCTGATCCTGGTCTACAGCAGTGGGGGCAGGTCGCTCGCTGAATTCCAGAAGAATATCTATCTTCAGGCTTGTCGATACTCGCCATCCTCACCCAGTGTATCCATACTATTCGCAAGGTACCTCGTAGTCAGCGCCACTAAAACGCTGTGCCCCTCGCCTGAACAGCCACATACACATGCCATCAATCCCCTGTATCAACCTCAAGATCCAGCTGGACATTGTTGCTGACACCGTAGTCCTGAAGTGTCAGCTGGTCTTTGAATGGTCTTTCGCCCTGTCGCTTGAGCAGTATCTCATGAGGTTGTCTGCCGATCATCGAAGCAACGATAACTTTGAAGTCCTCTTGTTCTTTCATTAGCACGGGAAAAGCCCACAGTGGCTGAGATAAACTCACTTATTGGATCCGTGGGATAGCATGGAATAGCTTTCTTCGTCCCCAGTCGGTCGTTGACGTAAACAATAATCATAGGCTGCGCTGGCATCGCAGGCGCTGTTTTCTTCTCTTTCTTGTCTGGCTTGTCCTTCCTCTTTTCTTCGCGGAGTTCTGGTTCCTCTCGATCTCGGTGTCTGTTACGATCTCTGTCATCTCTTCGGGGGGAACGCCTCCGAGGAGTGGGGGTCCTAGATCTCGAGCGAGGTCGATAATGATCCCTGTAGCCTCGCTGCAATCCTGCTTCTCGGTCACGTCTCGAGTCGTCATCGTCTCGACGTTTTTCCTTCCATTTGAACCCTGCGTCCTTGCGCCGCAGTCGATCCTCGCGCCTGTCCCTATCCCGTCGAGGAGACCTGCTCCTTCTGCGGCCTTCGCCCCTGGACGATTCTCGCTCTTTCCTGTCAGTATTCGTGGGTGGAGGTGAGGATGGTGAAGCCTCACGCTGATTGTCGGCCATTTTGAAGCCAAAGCGGCGTCCGAGGGATTTTGGAAACGTGGGTGGAAGGACGTGACACGCAAAGAAATTCATAGCAAACCGCCATCAGGGACCGGAAAAATGTGGCGCTTCGGAAAAACTCCGGATAAACAGTGCCTCAGCTTGTGCTTGTAGCTCGTCAGTAAATCCCAATTCAACTGATTCTTACCTAGCGTTTTAAAACTCCACGAATACTCCTGGCCGAGACACGTCCCGCCTCCAAGTCTCATGAATACCTTGACCTGTGAATGATGTTACAGAATCAACTTCTTGACAGCATGAATTCCCAACGAACGTCGCAACAGGGCTCTACTTGCTGGGAAAAGCCTTTGTACACTGTGGCGCTGTGTTCCGAATCGCTCCATCGGAGCCGCTTCGCGAGACGTGGGGTCCTTTGACAGGCGCAAGTTACAAGGCAATGCCTGAGAGTGGAATGGACTAGAGCGAAGCTGATCAATGCTCAAAGGTAAGGGTATGATCATGAACGAAGTTGACTACCTAGTACAATGGAAAGCTATGGGATGAGTGTATATGGCCCTGTCATGTGCCCTCATAGTCCTCGGCTTCCTCTCCTTCCACCCGAACTGGTTCGTGACACGATGGCGAAGTTGGGCACAGGTTGTTGACCGTTGAAGGTGTCGATGTGTGGTCTGGTACAAGTGTCGCCTCTTAGCCTTGTGCGCCTGAGTGTATATCTTCTTCGTCTCGGCCAGCCCCGGTTGGTTAGTGTTTGGGGGATGTTTTCAGCGGGGAACGAAACCTCCATCGCGTCGACTTCGTAGGGGTTCGTGGAGACGCAGGTGGTGGTTGAGTAGCACGCGACGTATCACTTCCAGGCGTCTCTGCGACACTTTCCTCTGAGGTGATATGCTCGGGTTCAGAAGCCTCCTCCTCAGATGCTTCCTCTGCTTCGACAATCTTCTCTGCCTCCTCCTGCATTTCAGCCATCTCAGTTTCGACTTCGGCCATCCTATTCTCTACCTCGACTTTCTTTTTCACCACCCTCGGCAGCTTATCGCCTACCTCGTCCATCATCTCCTTCACATCGATCATCGTATGCTTCATCTCGTTGATATCTTCTTCCGCCTTGCAGATCACCCTCCTTACCTCGGCCAAGTCGTTCTTTGCCATGACTGTGTGATTCCTGGCGTGTTTGGCCTTTTGCTCTTGTATCATCTTCCTCGCCCTAAGCATCTCCTTGGCGGCATCGTTGACTTTCTTCATTATTTCTTTCATCCCATTCTCTACCTCACGTATCACATTCTTTCTGACGGCAATTTGGTAGAAATCACGAAGCATGGTCGAAGGTATATTCAAGGACACATTCTCAAAGGCTTCCAGCTCACGCTCCTCCGCTTCACATATAAAATCCTTGAGACAGAGACGCAACGAGCAGTCTTTGACGGCTTGTCCGTCTTCGTCGAGAAACATCTGGGTTGTCGTTAGAAATCTCCGTCATGACACGAGCACTTCAGCATGCCGAAACGCCAACCCTTACCTGATTGTCAACCACTGTAGCCCGGGTCCACTTGTCGCCGTCAAGTTGGGCTTTCCATACCGAAAATGTCGCCAAGCGGCTGCCACGGTAGATGTCATTCAAATCCAAAGCGACAACAGTTCGAATTGCGCCCTCCGTCTCTGTGATAAAACGCGTTGCCCTTTCTGGTAACTTCAACTTGCGCTGAGACCATGCCACTTCTACGACCAGGTCAGCAATCGAGCAGCCCTCCGAAGTATAAGAAAGATCAGGTTCCAGTCGGTCGCCGTGAGGCGCGTTGCACTCCACCGTCGTAGCCAGAGTAGAACCTATCTTCTTCGCCGCGTCCATGGTCGCCTCTTTGGTGCTCTCAACCGTACAAAGTGTCCCTGATCGTATGGAATTAAGCCATTGCACAATCTCGTCATGGAGTCTTATAAGCATCGTCTCGTGAAAGCTAGATGGCATGTGGATCACGAACTGCTTGCTGCCTTTACAAGGGCGGCGTATATAATCGAAGCTGGTATCTCGTTAGCCACTCAAAAGCCAGAATTTCTCAAGGAGGCTTACCGAAGCTTGTCTCCCTTGACATAGTCCAGCAGCTCTTGATTTTCCTCCTTCTCCAGTTCTTCCCACAACTTCTGATAGCCACGATAGCGAAGTGTTCGCTCAATCAAGTACTTTCCACCAGGCCCACCCTTTTTCACCGCGTATTCATCCGCCTTGAATTGTTGTATCGTTTTCAACACTCGCCTCGCATCTGCAGCATCTTGTCGTTGCTGTTTGGCCCCATAAGCCCGAGGTTTCCCTGAAGATGCCAGACTGTCGATGCTTTCAGAGGACACTGATCGGCTTCTGTCAGAACGACTGCCCAGACTAGAGTCTGACTCTTCGTCAAGGGTCTGAGCGAAAGGGAAGGGAGTTGGTGGAAGGACTACCGTCTCCCTTGGAACCGAAGATGGCGGAGTTGATGATGGTGGAGGGATCAGAAGTGGCTCAGAGGCAGTGGATGTCGGTTTAACAGCTTTGGCTGGAGTGGGACTGGGTGAAGGTAGGGTTAAGATCGGACGCTTTCGCTTGAACCGATAGGACAGCGGCGAAGATGGTGCTGAAGCCGATGCCTTTCGCTTCGAAGAAGTATGTTGGCTACCAGGAAGATTTGATGAAGTGCAATCTCCTTCGTGTGACGCCGAAAGCTGCGGTTTGACCGATCTGAAGAAGTCTGTGAGGGAGCGGCGGAAGCGAGAGATCCTATCTCGCTCGCTGCGTGTTGTCATTTTAGAAGAAGAAGAATGGAAGGCTGATACATGATGCATCTAGCTGATTTATATAGTGGCACTCTGCACAAGCGACACAGTGATACGCATAACTGCATGCTCTACATACCTCGTACTTTGACACATGGTATGTAAGCAATTACAAACCCGTTGCTGCCTCATGTCAGACCCTACAGGTCCTGGCCCAAGCTTGGAATTCATAATAAATTTTGTTTTTACGCTTCCAAGCTTTTGGGTGTTACCGGGCCATCGACCTATCTCTTGTCCGCGACAGAGGTATTTAAGGGGCTAGTAGTCTAGATAAGAATCTAGCCTCGTTGCACAAGTGGGTAGCCTCCTCGCTGGTGGGCCTCGGTACCTTGGCGCACATTACACAGATGGATAGCTGTCAGACGCACTTTCCCATAGGCAGTTATCCAGAATTCCATACCAGCTCCTTAGTTACAGGGTCCCTCCCTAGACCACCGCATTCTGCTGTAAAAATGATGTATTCGTGGCCAAGCGCCGTCGACTGGAGGAGCATTCTCCCTCTCATAACGCCTCAATCGATATGCCTATTTAGGCTTAGCCTGTGTTTTGTGGGACTAGATCTTTTCGTTGACGCGCTTTACCTAATATAGTAACGCAAAGAGACTACATGGAGGCCAGCACGATGTTCTCAGTAAGGGCCTGGTACCTTCATCTTCTTTGGGAGGTATTCCTGTCCTACATCGCGTAAGAGACCAACCTCTTCGCATAGGAGTATTGCCCTCCTCTCAGACCTCAAGTGTTAGCAATTCCATAGGTAACCCGCATGTGCCGCGGATAAAGGCACACCGCCTTCTTCCTCAAAGCCCTCAAGTGAGGGCTTTAAGTCTCTTGTCAACAACCTGACGCTTCCCTAGACCTCCTGATGGTGGCCGAAATTGCGTTCCTGACCACCTCATGACGTATATCGACCTGGTAGAGGTCGACTGTAGCCACCCTTTTATGGCCGAGTTTAATCCCATCCTCTGACCCAACCCTTCAGCGCCGCCGTCATTCTCAACATTTTGTATGTCCAACTTTAGCCAGTTTCGTCTGGACGGGTGTACGGCGTTTGCGAACGTGGCCACACCCATCGGTGCTTTCCCTAGCCTTTCGTGAACCTGCATGTGATGAATGGCCTTTTGAGCTGCCAAAGCAGGAGTATTTCTGACCATGGCTTTGCTGTCGTCATCGGGATGAAGAGCTGGCACGTGTTTTTGTGAGTCCTTCACTATGGAACAGGTTGGTAAGCATCGACGCCGCAGAAACACGCAGAAGCACACTAAAGTGGGTTCACGACCGCCATCTCTGCAAGTCTCGACAGTCTCGTGTTTAAGAGTGCACATTAGACTGCAGTCTCAACCTGCTCTATTTATTTGAAGTGGATTTGCTGAAATCCGTTCACATTCAAAGTCCACAGAATTGTCACAAAGGGCGACCAAACGTCTGCTTTACAACTCTGAAGCTCACCTGTATGAACATCTATGAACCTCTGGCCCGGGCACTATGGCAGCTTCAACGGCATGATTACAGCAGCTAAATGGCTGAAAGTGATACCTTCTACCTGCGTTAGAGACGTAAAGAATGTTCTCCAGCTTCATGTCGCGGTGGATGATGTCGTTGATTGCTATGCAGTCAAGCGCCTGCAGCTTGTGCGGGAAGTCAGTGTCCGCAACAGTAGTTGTGTCAGCACCGTTTCCAATCAGTGACTCCGAGGTCCCTTCTTTAAGGCCCATGCAGATGTCCACATCACTGGCGAACCAGCCTTGCGAAGCTATATAGTTGACAATGATTGGTTAAATAGGCATTAGGATGGACAGAAGCAGCTAATTCGGCCGTGACTTAGATCTAGATCACATGCGTCACAGAGAGAGCCACAGTTTTCTTCCATCTATGTCTTCGTGATAAATCTCGGGGTCGTCGTAGCAGTACCTCCCCCTAGTGTTGTGGGGGCTATGGGCGACTACCCACGTAATGGGGAGCCACTATTGAGAGTCTGTTATCGGGATGAGAAGGTACACGTTCAGCCTGGTCGTATTCTGGGGCAAGGACAGAATCAAATGTGGCTATACTACCGGCAATGTACCTGCCTTCATGGAACGAAGAGACGCAGATGCGCTGTGCGGGTGGAAGAAGATCGGCAATAGGCGCTCTCTCCCCCGCTATTAGCAGAACAGTTGGAAATGGTTCGATCTGAAGACCAGGACTTGACAAGATATGTGAGGCTGGTAGTTCGTTTCATCTCTTGCCGCGCGCCAAAGCGAGTCCCACGGCATATTTATCACGTATATCTACCACTTGTAATCCCGCCTTCTTCGCATGCGACAGGCCAAGCCGGCTCAAGCGTTACACGATAACACCATACCGCCAGCTCAGGGAGACGCTGCAACAAGCATATCACCACGCAGAAGTGGACGAATACAGCTCCTTAAACGTGCCGCAGATAACAAGATGGACGAAACTGCTTCACGAAAGCGTCAGAGAAGAGGTACTTCGCGGGTCAAAAAAAGAAGTACAAGAACACCAAATAAGGCGAGAGAGTAGGATATCTGCCAAGTACAATGCAAGTGGCGGCCCGTCAATGAAGTGCAGAACGACTGCTACAGCTGCATCTCCAATCTGACCTCACAGGTAAGAGTCCAAAGAGCGTTGTCGTAAAGTCGTCATGGGTAATTAAATACGTGAATTGTGGCCCCGAAATTCCACTCGGCCACCGTCCGATAAGTGTCAACAATGCTGTGAGGTAGGAAGCCGCAGGAAGTCGAAGTCGTCGGCTCGGAAACGATTAGTCTCTCTGTAACAATCCACGAGCCCGTTCGTGCCCGTTCAATGAGGCACCGAGCCTTCCCAACGATAACCAAGTAGCCTCTTACTACTACTCGCCGTCATCAAGGGAGCCAGGGAGCACGTGTTGTATCAAAGGCTTGGCCCGGCGCAATGATTTTCCGTTCCGAATCTCAAGGTTCAGCCACACATCTCTGCACAGGTCTATATCTCTCTCTTCTCTTCTCGTCTCTCCGTAAACACAAAGCCAAGGAGCGAACTCATCGTCAAAACAACTTGACATAAGCCATGGGATCATGTTCACCGGTCCTCGTCAGTATCTTTCCATCCACCTCCCAAGCCCGACAACGGTCAGCTTCAACGTGTCGACGAGACAGCCGGTTCAGCAAGCCGCATCATCGATAAATCGGCCCTCATCTTCGCACCTCTCACATCTCCGACGTGTCCCTGTCTTTTCTCTTCTGAAGCACGCGCTACGGATCCTGCTCGTCCTGCTCGTCGTGCTGGTCAACCTCACGAAAGCCCGTATCGAGGCACCGCGGCCATCCTCAGGCCTCGACGCGTATGCAGACTTGGGACTCAAGCTCAGTCTGGTCGGCGGGACGATCGGGGCGATTGCCGACCGCGCAGAGTGGTGGGTCCTGGCGCCGGTGAGCTTGGTCGTCGTGTACGCGTGCTTGAGGCGCGACTATGTCGGTATGTGTGCTGGTCTCTCTCCCTTTCCCCTCTCCCTGTACTCTGTGCTCGGAGCGACGAGTCCTTGTGTCTAGATCCGTACCTACGAAGCTCTTCCTTCTCGCTAACCCCCCCGTGCAGAAGAATCCCTCTTGGTCCTCCAAGGTCTCGGGATCCAGACATCCACTTCGTCGCGCTACTTTTTCACCGGCCCAACCACGACATTCATCCCGACGACGCAGATCCAGGATATCGTCATCCACGAAGCCTTCAAGGGGCTCGAAGTCCGGTTTTACTTGGCCGTCATAGTCGAGGGGGCTACGGAGGTGGTGGTCGTCTTCCCTGTAAGCAGTTCAACCTCTTCTATTGATTGGTACCGTGTCAATGGAATAAGGACAGAAGCTGATCGTGTTTTTCATCCTGCGTTCAATCTGTAGACTCTCCTTCCGCGCCGCGAGATTCTCGAGGAAGTCTGGCGAGGGGGTCGGAAATGTTTGTACTCCGGTATCCGCTGAGCAACAGGAGCGAGGCCAGCTTCTAATCTAATCTATTCAACTGCGGCATTCGTCTCTTCAAACTCCTCCTTGGCTTTATCTCTCGCTTCCCGACTCTTTGCCCACTTGGCATTCAACACCTCCAAGGTATCCATCCTCGGCTTCTTCATCACGGGCACATATCGACCACTGATTCTGGCTCTGCTACTCCCGTCAAAGACCTTCTGACTTCGCGCTCCCGACTTTCGGGGTCCATCCCGTGTCGCGCCTCTCTGGAAGGGGGTGCCGTCACCCTGAGAGAGCGCCAGATCGAGGAGACTGCCAGAGAGGAGTTCTTGCGTCTTTGCTTCTCGCCACTGGGTCCAGAGTTCGTCGACGACCGAGCCAGTGCCGAATTTCCCGTCGTTCTTGGTAGAGTTTGTCGTGAGCGCGGGCACCGTGGCTGCGTCCCCAGCATACAGCCAGTTCAATGAATCTTCCATCACTCCGCCCTCCCCGCTGTCACTGTCGGGAAAGATGCAGTCCCACAGCACCAATGGCGCGTCGTCGGCCATCTCGTACGTGGGTCGACGGGGGTTCTTCTCGACATCAAGCAACTCATCGATAATACTCGGTTCCTCGAGGCCCTGGCCGACCAGGAACAATAATGCCACCATGCACCGCACCTGATGCCACAGGAACGCGGTGCCGTGGACGCAGAAAGTATACACCTTTGGGCCTCCAGAAGCGGGGGGAACCGTTCCATTTGCGAGCGCGGACGAAGCCGACCCGGTCTGATTCAGGGCCTCGTGTTCCAGAAACATCCTCCCATTCTGGGGAAACTCGACCACGTCGGCAAACGTGATCCTCCTCACGCAGTTGGGCATCTGTTTGCTCGCGTCGATCTTGCAGAGGTTTCTGAAGTCGTGCACCCCGACAAGCTTGCTCGCGGCTTGCCTCATCTTGTCGATGTCGAGCCAGCCCTCCCTGACGACGCCGGCGGGACTCTTTCCGTCCGAGCGCCGAAGGCCGAGAGGGCCGGGCGTGGGGCAGAACGCCGGGTTCGTGAAGAAGTATTTGTACCGGCGCTCGCGGCAGGAGAAGCGCGCGTCGAACGTGGGTGGCGGGGAGGGGCACCAGGCCAGAACGCGGATGTCGGGCGGGAGGATCGAATTGAGGAGGGATATGTACGGTAGCTCGTCTTTGACGGGGTCGAAGGGCTTTGCGTGTTGATCCGCTGCGAGGTCCGCGGCGTCTATGGATGGCATAATATCGCCTTGGCCACTTTCATGTTCCTCCGCACCCGCGTGCTGCTCCCCGTCCCCTTCTCCTTGCACAGATTCCTCCGGAGCGGGTTCTCGACTGGTCTCAAGCGCCCGATTACTCCTGACTCGAACCCCAATGACCTGGCCGAACGCGGACACGCCCCTGTCCGTCCTCCCGCATTTACTGTACTGGCAGCCTTCCCAGCTGAGGTCCAGCCGGACCCTGCCCTGCACGTTGGGTCCCGGACCAGACCTCGGCGCTCCTGACTCTCGCGCACTCCTCCCCTTGACGTATGTCTCCCGCCTCTTGTCCTCGCCCCACACCACGTCGTAGCTCTCGTCGCTCCCCTCGGCCAAGCTGGGCGAGATCAGCCGCGCCTTGCGCAGCGCCTTCCACAGCACCTCCTCGACCGTCGGCTGCGCCGTCACATTGCCATTCGCGTGCTCGTACCCGCCGTACCGCCCGCCCAGGTACGCGAACTTCAGGGCAATGTGCCGCGTCGAGTATGCTGCCGGGTTGAATGGGCGGGCACGCCTCGGCGAGTGTGAGCGCGAGCGCGATTGCGACCGGGATCGTGGCCGTGACGGATTAGCAAGGGGGTTTTGCGCGGTTGTAGAAGGGCGGTCTGGGAGTAGAGATGTGATCGTAGGGTGGGAAGGTTGTAGAGATTTCGAGTCATTCCCGCAAGTCGTCAACGAGGCCAGCAGCGCTGTCTGTTCACGCAGTTGCTGTTCCAGCGCCGTGATGCGCCCGACCAGCTCGCTGGTGCTGTAGCTCGCGTAATCTTTATCCATACCTGTCCGCATAGCAGTAGGAGCGAGAGTGGCAGCGTGCCGCAACGGAAGAAACGTACAGAGTCCGTAGTGGTAGCAGAGAAGCCGGCGTGGCACGAGCCCGCTCGTGAGAGATACTGGCACCGCAACAGGAAGAACAGGCATTAAAAACACACTGGCTCAAGCGCCCCCGAGGACATTGTACCATACAGTTCTGTCGTACCGACACTACCTACTCGCTAGGAAAGAATGACAATGTGATGATTCACAAGTGTGTAGATTTGGGTGTTGCGTCACGGACTTTTCTCTAGGACTGCTGCCAGAAAAAAATATGGATGAACTTCGGGACAATTTAGTCCGAGGCGAGGCTACATCACAGCCTTGCGAGATCGAGGGTAGCGATAGATACCGAGTACAACACACGGGTTCTATTGTTTCGCGCTATCCGTTACAGAAGAGGGCAAAGCATCGCACTTGTCGGCCTCAAGCTATCATCATTGATAGTCTCCAATGCTTGCGGCACTGACAGAGTATCCAGCGAACCAGCAGTTCCTACATGCCTCCCTGGCCTCCACCGGGTTGGCTCGGGATCGCACCGTCTAGCTGACTCCAGCCCGTGGCCAGCAGTAGTCCCCTAGTCCACTGGGTCGTTGTTTTCCTGTCGCGCTTCGTGAAACTCTTGTTCGTCGTCGTCATCAGGACTATCCTTATTTTCTTGTTCAATGTTGTCGACTTGTTCCTGCGAGTCCTGGATCTCGATCTCGTCCTCTGCATCGTGCATTTCCTCGTCTTCGTCTTCTGTGCCGTCATTGTCTTCAGCTGCCTCGTCGACTGCGTCGTCTGGCCCTTCTTCACCTCCGTCGTCCACATGGTCCTTGGATATCTCGTACTCTTCCAACATGTGCTTCTTTTCTTCGTCCAACTCGTCAAGCTCGCTGAGCTCGCTGCCAGAATCCTCTGCGTCGGCTTCCCCATCCGCACTGTCCTGGATAGAGCCCCGTCTAGAGCTTGCTCTGCTGCCGTCCATGTCTTCGTCCTTCGTTTCAGCTAGCCGTTTGTCGACCGGAGCTTCTAGTCCCAGCTCCGCCTTCGAAGGCAACTCCACAATAGGTGTCTTGGAAAGTATGGGCGTCTTAATGGGTGGTGGCTTCAGTATGGCAGCCTCCGCTTTGCGCTGTATCTCACGTCGGGTCACTGTCTTCGTGCGTCCAGGTCTGCCTCGTTCACGCTGAACTTCGGGCACCGGTTGACCCGTTGCAACCGGGAAGGGGGTTGGCGAATTTTGAAGTCCAAGACCTGCAGGTGTAGAGATGGACACAGCCAGTGGTCCCTCGGCAGCACCGTCGCCTTGGGCCCGCAGCATGTTCGTTAGACGAGCACGTTCAGCATTGTCGTCACCGCTAGCAGCGAGATCGGTAGTCATGTTGATGAAAGTGCCTTGTGGAAGCGCTGCAGGCTGTGGCTTAGGCTGTTCCTCTGGAGGTAATTGCTTGAGGAATTCTTCGTAGAGACAGGCATATGAATCCCCTATGAGGTCGTCAATCACAGGGCCTTTCATCAGACTGTTGTTGAGGCGTTTCAAGTCAATCGCGTCTCGCATAATGTCCAAATACACAGAGGTTGTGTCAGGATCATGAGCCCATTTCTCCATCATCTCCGACTTCTTCGTGAATTCTTCATGGTTCATGCCATCGAATAATGCCCGTTCTCGGCCTTCAGGTATCTTGCCAAGTCGTCTCAACAGCCGCACGTAGATTGTGGCCACTTCCTCCCAGATCTTGGTGTGATCGAGAAAGTCCGTAGTCTTCCTGCGAATACGGCGAACGAGCGCGTCCAGGTTGGCGCGGTCGTTGAGCTGCTCCAGAATGTGCACAAAGAAAGAAATGTATCGTCCAGTATAGACATAATGACGCCCTGGTCGCTCATATTCAGGCTTCCAGACCTGCATCGTCATGGTCTTTGTGAATATCTGTTGCGTGAACTGATGCTTCGCACCAAGTGCCCCAGTGAAATTCGGTTCTTCATCATATATTACGTGGGCCGCGCGGTCTGTGATTCGATGATGCCAATTGGACTTGTCCGCGTGTCCAAGTTTCTTCAAGATTTCCAGCATGTAGGGCACCCAGTCGACTCCTTGTTCATCTTCCGGCAAAGGCACACCTTGCGAATAGCGCGATGACTGTAGGTACTGGTAGGCTTGGGCATGCGAGATCTCTCGGCTGCACACCATCTTGTGGACAATCGATACCAGTTTGAAGTGGGGTTCCAAGATCGGCTCATGGTTCTTCTCCTTCTTAGGAAGCGCCTCAATGGCTTCGATGATGGCCTCAAGAACAGCTTCCGAGGAGACACGACCTCGGTTTTCACGGCTTCGAAACATTTTCCACAGACACTTCGCGCGTGTGTAGTGGGATGTCCATGGTTTGGGCCGATCTGTGAGCTTCATTTCGAGGAGATACGCTGCGAAATGCCACAGAGCATACTCTCCCACTGGTTGGTGATATGGTTGCTTGGACATTTTCATGTCGACGACGCTGCTCATGTGTCGTATGTGTTTGTCGGTTCTAAAAGCTTCCATACTCAGCGGAGGGCGAGAAGATGCATACAAGCGTGTGGCAAATTCCGTGAGCATGTCCTCAACCTTCTCTACGGTCTCGGGTCGGTCGTCAGCAGATCGCAAGGCTACTGCAGTCGCCATGATATAGCTGTGAATCGCCTGTCGCTCGAGCAGAGCAATATCTGCCCTTGATTCGTTGAGTTTGGTAGAATTCCAGATCAGGTCGTCCTCAATCTTGGCCTCATAGACCTGAGCCAAACGGTACCAGGTTTCCCATTTCTCAATGTTGTGGTCCAAGTCCTGACGGAAGAAGCTCGCAGCAACGTCCAAATCGTCGGTCGGTGTTGGACTGACTCGTTTGATCGACTTGTATTTCGAGAGCGTAAGATGCCCGAGCATGAAATACCAGCCGCTCCTTGCCGCAATCTGCGTATCCGCTTGCACAACGCGTGTAGGGAGATCACCAATACCTTTGATGCACCTGTACAGGTCATTTGCGTTGATAATCGACTTGAGGTAGGAAGAAATGATTCGTTTGTTTTGTTGCAGCGCGGGAGGGCTCTTGATCACTCCTAACGCTTGCTGCATTTTATCAATTGTGGCTTTGAGCTCGCTTTTGTTCAAGTCTTTAACGCTGAAACGTTCGGCATATTTCATGATCATTGGGATCAAGGACCAGGCCGTCTTCTTGTCCAGGTTTTCTGGAGGACAACCGTGGTCGACATCTCCCATGCCATTGGCGATGCGAAGTTGATAGAGATCAAAGAAGATTTGAGCAATCTCGCCAGTATAGTCCTGTTGGGTGGCAAGGCTTCCCAGCTCCGATTTGACCAACTTTATAAAGGACTTGTTGGCGTGTTTGCAATATTGTCGGAGGCCGAAGGAGTTATGAACCGTACATAAATACTCCGCCAAGTCGTCTGCGGCTCGAGGGTAAGATAGTGGTTCTTGGATAGTCGCTTCCTTCAATAGTGTATATTGCAGAGTCCATGCGCGGACAAGCATTTCTCTGAGGCGATCCTTGCTTTTCTCGTACAGTTTCGTCGAGGTTGCGCCTTTGATCTGAGGTGCCGCAGACTGGCCAACACGTATTGAGTCTTCATAGATGACAAATCCATGAAGAAGCTTCACAACTGTGGCAACTGCTTGCAAAGATGAGCGGAGGTGGTCACTGTCGACACATTCAAACGGGTTCGAATCACCGAGAACTTTTGTCAACAATCTGATCATCAAGTCGTCCACATCATGTAACCATTTAAGCATTGAGATCTGCCGAAAAGTTGGCTCCTGTTCGAGATGTCGTGTAGTGGATATTTCATCAACGATCGTCTCCATCGCTCGCAGAAGACAGGATACGACTTTAGGAGTATATGAAATCGCCGTGTAAGCGTTCTGAAGGCGTCTCCACAGGTACAGTTTGAGTGCCGCGTCGCCGGACTCGAGAAATTGAATGAGCTCTTCTGCCTGGGTCGAGTGTCGGAAAGCGGGATTTTCATTTGTAAGTTTTGATGTTGACTCCAAAATGGGTTCCAATTTCTCGATCACTGCCACAGGGTCGCTGTTATCGTCGTCGAAGATGCTCGTGAAGAAATCGCGCGTACTGAGAGCGGATAGCTCTCGATCAATCGCCGCCACAGAGATTACAGCCATTGCACTATTATTTGGTAAAAAGATCGAGTCGGCCTCAATCTTTTTCAGGAGTGCCTTCAGCTCTTCAAGCAACGATACAATGTGATCCTTAGTGACATTGTCGTCCAGTCTGGCCTGGGCAATTGACGCCCAGGTAAAGCGGAGAATTAGAGGGTCATTCAGCCCTAGAGCCGGAGAGCGCAAATAGAGCTGGATGAACTCGCTCGCCAGACTGGACCATCTCTGCAGGCGGTCGTGACTCGCGTGATCAAATTCTCCGCCTAGATCGAAAGCTGCAGCTGCCGCATCCAGAAATATCTCGAATAGTGTCTCGACAAATTCAACGACAGAATGGACATCTGGGGCGATTCCGTCGACCAGGTCGTCGCTCGATTTGGATAGGGAGTAGAGGCGCTGGTGCAAAAGCTGCCACAGATATTCCTCCATTTTGCGCGCCAACTCACCCACCAAGTACTTCATATCTGTGGTCCACTTGTCACTTAGATAGGGCGATGGACATGACTTGCCCATACCATTCGACCCAGTGAGGACTGAAGACAACCAGGAGCTTGCCGCTTCGTAGATGTTCGTTGGCTCGGAATTGATTGTATTAGCCAGGGAAGTCAAAACAACTTTGTCGAAGCTCCTGGGTCGCTCGATCTCCTTCGGATTGGTAGGTTTGAGATGTTGAAGAAACAAAGACATGCCGTTGGCTTTCTCAGTAAAATCCTGGTTACCGTGACCATTGATGATGGCGTGACCCTTGTCATCGGACCAGTTCATCAAAATCAAGCGGAGATCCGAAACCAAGGTCAGGTCCTTCTGGATACTCTCAAAACCTTTCCCGTTCGCTTTCTCATCGGTACCTGTCCAGAAAGCTTGTTTGGCTTGTTCTGTTGACAGGTATAGCTTCATACCTAGTTTGTTTAGAAGGGAATTCGCCACGTCGAATGTAGCCTGATCCGCCTGCTCGAACATGGCGAGTTGGTCCAAGAAGTACTGGGGATCCTCGTGGGCCGCATCCTCCTCTTGAGCATTTGGGTCAGCCATTGATTCTCTTGCTCGTAACCTTTTGCTCTTTGCTCGCCCTTCGGTTTCATCGTTCCCTGCCACCGTTGTTGACCGTTTGCGTGATGTTGCTCCAGAAAAAGGTCGCGCTTCGATGATCTCGATTGTGTCTCCATCCGGCAAGCCGTTCATCTGTTCGTTCTCTCGCAGTCGCGTCTCGCCCGAATCAGCAGTCACAGGATCCTGCGGTGATTCCTTCTCGGGGGGTGGCTCGAGCTGGGTTCCTATCTCCCTCGAATGTAGTTCAGGACTCTGCGATATGTCCACCAGACCGGAGCCGGCGACGACGCCTTCCTTCCCCACGACCTCTGATGTCGTTGCCATGTCGACTTCGTGATCTGTCATGTTCAAGTCTATTTTTACGGTAGCAGCGCTACTGGGACCAGTGGCATCTTGAATATTTTTCATGGTTTCGGAAATCTTCTTTCCCAGAGAGTAAAGATCGGGTGAGACTGGTTGTAAAGTGAGTTGAGCCACCGCGAAGCTTAGAGGACGATACCTATCATCCAGATATTCAAGAGTCGATGCGTGCTTCGGTAGGAATGGGTATGGGTCATTTGATTTCTTCAACACACTCAAAAGCTTATCCTTGGGTCTTGCATCCGAACTCTGAAGGCGGCTCATGTCATCCTGTACCAGGTTGACCATCTCCTCAAGCTCGCCAGCTGCAAAGGCTTCGTCAAGACCCGATAAGTCGATTGTTTGTTCGCCATCCTCATCTTCACCAGCGAGGACGCTCTCCAAGCAGAATCGTGCGATGCGCTGGGTAGACAGAACATCTGCCACACGTGCAGCTTTCTTCCACGAGTCAAGATCGGTGTCATCACGCTCAAGAGCTTGCGCGAATTGCCTGAGGCTCTCCTTGCTGGACGTGGCGTAGTAGTGACAAAGCTCGGAGCGAGTCCCTCTGCGATCTGGTACCTGGTGGCGTGCAACGTCCAGGAGAAATTGGCCTCTGTTCTTGAAGGCGAGGTAAAGAAGCTGAGGAATGGAACTTGCGGAGGATTCAGCAGCACTGTTCGGAAGCAGAGATAGTGCACCAGAGTCTGTCTGCGCGGTAATGACTATCGTATCATCGTCGATTTCGTCGTGCTGAAAGTCCGAAACAACATCTGGATATTTGAACACTTCGGAATTCAGAAGTTCGTCGTATGCGTCCTCAGCTTCTTGGAAATAGTCGGGACCCTGAGAATGAAGTTTCAGTGCATTTTGATAGAGTTTGAAGGCTTCCTCGAGCTGGATCTCTCGCGTGTCATCGACTTCCTCTTGAAAGGTGTCTTCAGGTTCGACATTTAGGGCCGTGAAGGCGGACATGGTGAGTCTAGTATCGCAAGGCGTCTACTTGAGCCAGCACTGGTCGGGGACGATTCATCTGGTGTTGGGGGAGGGACATTGTCGATTTAACACATACATTACCGGCGTCCTCGACAAAGTAGGCGCGGCAATCGAGGCGGATATCTTCTGACCTTGGATGAAATCGATGTTGTTTCCATGAAGATAGGAGGAAGTAAAGATGTCAAGTGAATGATCGCCAACACGGCATCATGTCGTTCAACGCGTTCAAATGTCCAAGTGGAACGCGAGGCGAGAGTTGCGCATCCCATTTAGGAAAGCTTGCCGAAAATGCACTCAATTGTTCCTTCAACAATCTCTGGGAGGATGGATTGAGACACGTAGCATCCAAATCTCGTGCAGTATAAGATCTTGAAGGCGCTCTCAACTACCCGTACTTCTCAGGTTCAACATCGCCGCTTACCCCGCCAGGATCGTCAACGATTCGAGTTTACGGACTGCCTCGATACGCCCCTTTTTCTCAGTCTGTTCTCGAAATATTTGTCCAACTCCGCCCATTAAGGGTGCGCGGCCATGGTTGCGCCGGCAGTGCCAGAGTGAGTCGCTTTCCAGATCCTACGTCTCTAATCACGCGCTAACGGGCCTCTCACAGGATCATTGAAGATGATGAGATCGGCCTCGCTGTCGACGCACGCACAGAGAGTCTACCGGGACTTCGCGAATTGGGACCTCCGGATCTTGTTCACCTGGTCAAGCAGAGCGTCAAAGCTGGCAACAAACAAACTGGAGTTTACCACCATGTGACCGGTGTTGATGCCTCATCCTCCGCGAGCTTGGCTGCATATGTCAACACCCTGACTTTCAATCCTGTTGACAAAACACACAAGGTGGTGTCGGGTCTGTACTGCTGTTACAATGCTTTTTCGCATCTAGACATGAGGGTGGAAGTCAAAATCCCAGGCAGTGTGGAGAGTTATTGTGTAGATGAAAGGGGTGACAGAAGAGTTGCAACCGAGAATTTATGGCTGGAGACATTTCTCTGCGCAGTGCTGCGTGCATATTCATACTCGGACAATGGCAGCGGTGACACGATAAAAAAGATTATTGGTGTCCGAAGGTTCAATCCGATTATCAACACCGAGCTGGAGCACCGTTTCTTCGAGGCCGCCGAGCGATTATTCTTCAGCGGCCGTCAACTGGGGTCAGACCCCGAAATTCAAATCCCTAACGTGGTCTCCAACCATCTCACTGCGGGACTGTTGAAATACATTCGAACGACAGGACGGTTCGCATCAGGTATCAACTTGTTCGAGAAGCTACGAACAAAGGACGTGGAGGTCTCGTCTTTGCTGGCGCGGGTGTTACTGGATGGAGATGAAGAGATCCAAGCCGTGCGGCTCCTGCATGATTCCTTACAGGATGTGCCGATGGACTATGCGCTTCTTGACTGTCAAGCTGCGTTCTGCCAGAGCAAAGGTGAGGGCGAAATGGCTCTGGAACTGGCCAAGCAGGGAGTCACTGCGGCGCCCAGTGAATTCAGCACCTGGGCTCGACTGGCCGAGGTCTATGTTGACCTAGAACAGTGGGATCTGGCCTTGCTTACCCTGAACTCGTGTCCTATGTTTTCATACCAGGACAAGGACTCGCCCAGAATGCCTGAACCAAGTCGTGTGCTTCTCCCGATCCTACCTGAGAGTGCCCTAGACGAAATTGACGAGGGACAGCCCAGACATGGAGAGCCGTACGATCAAGTCCATGTTTCATTGCGAAAACTACAGGCGGCCACGTATCAAGGGACATTTTTGAAGGCGTACAGCTTGCTGACACGGATCGCGGCCGCCATCGGATGGGACACACTCCTTAGGACGCGAAGTCAGGTTTTTGTGATGGAAGAGGAGTACCGAACGGAGAAGCAGCACCAGGTGACTCCAAAGATACCCACTAGCAAGAATGCTAGCACAATCGCCCTATCCGGCACTCCGAATGGCCACTCGAAAGCGGATGAAAATGGCGCAGACGAAGACGACGAGTCAGAAGATGGCTCTGCTGTGGAAGAGCCGAAGAAAGCTGATGATGAGAAGATTCTTGATGGATCCTCCTCCACTGCACCTACACTAAATGGTGGTGTTGATGAGAATGAGAATGCAGAGATCAAAGCGCACCGATCAATGGAGAAACCAGTGCCCACGATTGCAGCTGAGGAAGTCAAGTCGGGTAGCGACGAGCCAGATACATCCCATGGACACTATCCCCAATTCCAGAACAAACGCCTGTGCGAGCGGTGGCTCGACAATCTCTTCATGGTGCTGTATGAAGACCTCCGGATATACACAATCTGGCGGACAGAAATGGGCCAGTATCGGCAACAACAAATGCAGTACAAGAAATCCGCCGCGGAGTGGGAGATCCTGGGAGATCTTGCTGAGCGGCTCCATCACACAAACGAAGCTTTGGAAGCATATCAGCAATGTCTGAACATCAGGTTCTCGCCCAAAGCCATGAAGGGTATACTGCGCATGTACGAGAAGAAAGGGGACACGAGAAATGTCCTGGCATGCTTGATTCGACTAATCACCTGGCAATACCGGTGGTACTCGGAGGTAAGGACTCTACATCGAACTCTTCAACCACTCTGCTGACTGCTGTGACAGTTTTCGCCCGAACTCTTCTACTCGATACGGAAGCTCATTGAAGAAGAAGGGGCCGTCAAGATCCGCTCCATCGTACAAAGCACCAATCTTCCACAGCATGTGCTGGATTTGACTCACGAATACTGTCGCCTGTGTGTTACTTTTAGAAGCAGCGGCACCGATGGATGATGAATGATGGGTTATGGGACTCTTTGTGTCAGGTAATTGTCTTTGTACAAGAGGAGGGATCGCATGTTCTTTTGCGTTCATTGCTCCTGAGCGACTTCCCAGCGGGCGGCGTCTTGACAGAATCAGACAGAGAGGGTGTTAGGTAGAATGAGAAGGCCACACGCTCAGACTGGGCTGCTTGTGTGAATACAGCCCATAAAAGAAAATACATGGCGGGCGCCTTTGGCGGTGCCTTGTACTCCGTAATCATCTATCCACTGCTGTCACGGCCTTGATGCTTTTGCGTATATACACTTAACACGTGTCCGGAGTGATTGACTACGGTCGATCATTTGGCATTCGACTTATCGTCAACCAAGTTCATTCACTATTATTCTCTCACCTGGACTTGAGATAGACCATCAACATCCTTCCATCAACCACTTCAGACTGCTACTCCAAGCACTTTTTCCGTCGATTATCAGTTCGTTCATCATCCCAAGAGCGATCATATTGTACCCTCCAAAGCATTCCGTCGCCGAACTCCCGTTCCAGTGGCCTTGAGGCGGAACGGCGGGGCTAGGCAGTGAGGAGGCTCTGAAGACCGACCCACACGTTTCCATCCAAGTCTGCATCCACCATGACCAGCCAGAAGCGTATCACCAAGGTAAGAACAATGGCGGAAGAGAAGGCTATCGATATCGCATCGAGCTCAACTGACCCATGCGCGCCAGGAACTTGGTGAACTCACCACTTCCCCCCCTGCCGGTATCACGGTCGCTCTGGCTGATGAGGCGAATCTCTTCGAGTGGAAAGTCACCATGGAGGGACCAGCTGGATCGCCGTATGCTGTAGGTTTGCCCCAGAGTCTGTTCCTTGGAGCCAGGTAGTCTGGGCTGGCGCAGTGACCTGGGTGATCCTGCTCAGACCAGCGCCGTCTTTGCATGGCCCTCAGACATGGCAGCATGGTTACGAAAGGAGCAAACAAACACGGTAGGAAACACTGGCTGACGTGTCTTCACACACTCTTCTCTCGCCATCTCCAGGGCCACCTCTTCAACCTCTCCTTGACCCTCCCACCAAACTACCCTTTCAAGCCGCCAACCGTGACTTTCACCACCAAGATCTACCACCCAAACATCTCCAATGACTCTCCACCAAACTCCGGCACCATGTGCTTGGGCATGTTGAGAGAGTCTGAATGGAAGCCGAGCACCAGAGTCGCCGCGGTCCTGGAATTCGCTCGTCAGTTGTTGAAAGGTACGTGGATAGTGAACCCCTAGCCTTGCGACGCAATCCGAGTTGTCGGCCTCTGTCTCCCTCTTTGAGAATCTTTGCGGCCAAGGCTCACCCGCTCACCCATGACCGAACTGCCATACCTAAATCTGCGTAAGCTGCCTTGGCTTGAGTCAGTCGGGTTGAGGTATACAGCGTGGGCTGTACAGTGGAGGGTGATCACAACAGTGTTTTGTCAGAAATGTGTTCTCTGCCTCTCTTCACCTACCCTGACCAGCACACTAACAAAAAGTCATTTTTAATCCGCTTTAGAACCAAACCCCGACGACGCCGTCGAAGGCAAGATCGCAGACCAGTATCGCAACGACTACGGCGCGTACGAGAAGGAAGCCCGCGAGTGGGTCAAGCGCTATGCGACGGTCAAGAAATGAAATCCTATCATGAAGAAGTCGTGATCCTGTCGTGTCTGTCTGCTTGCCAGCTCAACACCCATTCTCATTTCCGTTTGGAACTAGAATAGGATATGTTTCTTTTCGTTGGCACTGGCAAAATGAAGAAGAAGGGAAAAAAAGAGAAAAAAGATTGCGACTCCTATTCGACATGCGTTGTGGAATGTGAGCAAATCATTCATATGGCTATCATGGGGTGGAGCGCATCGATGGCGGACAACACAACACAACACATGACATGACATGACGACGGACAGACATGAGATCATGGACATATGGCGATGGATGGGGAGAAATGGAAGACTGCGACGCAAGGGCAAAAAAGGCTAAAAAGCAGTGACCCAGGAGGTGGGCTAGCGAGCAGGTATGCAAGGGGATGGATATGAGCATGGACCTCGCAGTCACCGATGGAGACAGCACAAGGCACAGACAGACATGGCCAGTCACCCTCAAAGCTCAAGCAGGTGAGCAGTCGACTCTGATTCGAGTATTGAAAACAACAAAGAACAACCAGATCACTCCTCATTCTCGTCCTCGTCCTCGTCCTCGTCCTCGCTTTCCTCGGCGACATCGTCGTCCATCTCTTCGTCCCAGTCCTCCAGGTCATCGCTATCCCACTCATCCTCGTCGTCGTCATCGTCATCATCTTCCCCAGCTTCGCCATCACCCTGGCCTGCATTAATTTTCGCATTCTTCTTGGCCAGCTTCTTCCTCTCGACATTCTCTTTCTGCTCCTTCCGTCGGGCCTCTTTCTCCTGCCGCTTCTTCTCCCACTTGACTTCCAGGGCCTTTTCCTCGGCTTTAGTCTTGGTGACAAACTCGTTCCACATTACCCGTCCCTCGCAGATGCCTTCTTCTACTTTGACCATGCGGAGGCGCATCCGAGGGCCGAGTTCTACCAGTTTCACTGCTCGCTTTTCGACGTGCGATTCCACATTCGCCGCGGACTCCTTCATGGGTGTGTCTTTGTCTTTTTCCCCATTTGGCTGTTGCTTTTGTTGTTGATGCTGTCTCTGCTGCTCTCTCTTACTCAGGACGCGTTGGGTGGTGGTTTCCAAAACCTCAATCTCAGCATCCGTGTCAAGCTCGGTCTCGCTGGCAGATGTATAACCCCCAGCCGAGGGGTCAAGGAGGTAATCCGCTACGTCCTCCAGTTTGCCCAAGTTCGGTAGTGCTCCCGACTTCTTCTCACGTAGTCGCTGCTCGCTTGGATCAAATCTGCGGACCCGTTTGGATATGCCTGTTCGACGGGTTGTGATAGCATAGTGGCGGAGGTTGATTATATATGTACCATCGGACTGAGGCTCGCGATTTAATAGTAAAATTCTTCGTATTGAGCTTAGAGGGGTCGTCTGTGGCGATATGGGAGGGAATATGGATTGGAATATAGTGGTAGTGAGGGATTCAAGCTGTTTCTTGATGGGGTCGGCTTTTGAATCTTCGCTTGTCTGGGAGGTGAAATTATTCATAACCAGTAACGGCGCACTCAGATATTCTTTCCCTCCACCACGGGGATGTTTCTGCGCCTTGGCTATATCTTTGCACAGGGCATAACGGTCGACTCTGAAGGTGAGGGTCGGGCCTCGAGGCGTAAGTGCAACTCTAAGGTGCACATTGCCCGTTTTCGAGCGCGAGAAGAGGAAGAGGTGCGTTACACCTAGTGGACCAGCCATGGCGGTGTAGTCTTTTAGCTTGTTTGCTCGTCGTTCCTGGAGAATACATGCGTCAGAGAATCAAGACTGGTATAGAGCCAATACATCGAGTTTGCACTCACCTTCAACCTGCTTGCAGTGTCTGGTTCCATTACTGCTCGAAAATCTCGCGCCAGTTGTGTCACGCTGGACCCGACATCACCTGCGCCCATTCGAATAACCATACTCTTCGGCCGACGGTTCGCCTGCCCCGGCTTTCCGGGGGCGTCGTTGTCAGGCACATGAGTCCTCTTCTTCTTTCTTACTTTGGCCATGATCGTGGTCTGCACTCCAGACTGTTGAAACAGAGAAATGTGGGCTGGCGCAGGTGCAATTGTGATATTGTGAATGAGGAGCAAAAAGTCCGAGACAACTTTTTCTTATCGATAAGAGACTGATTTCAGTGGAGCATTCGACCTGGAAGCGTAGTCGAGAATCGCTTGTGCCTATTCGCAGGCAACTCAGGCAACTAAACAAAAGGAAGCCAATGCACCAGCACACAGCAGAAAGGATCACTGCAGGGGGTTCATGCAAGCCACCGAACAAAATCTCATGATCGTGGCTTCGTTCATAACAGATGGGCCGCATGACAACACTATCGCCAACACCTCTATCGGCATTGGAGGTCGTTGGAGCACTTTCCATGTGGCCTACATGTGGCCTACCATTTATCCAGCGAGTCACCTACTACGCCTTGAACAACAGCGCCTAGGTTGTTGGAGGCCACATTCACGGGGAGCCCATCCTCGTATGGCTCAGCCCTTGTGTTTTGGTTTCAGGAGCCAATTTCCGGTGGGGCCACCATCCCCGCGTCAACTGGCTAGCTGCGACTAAGCCTCTCACCAATGGCCCAGGAGGGCCCGACAGGTCTTTCACAAGGCTGAGCACCTTGTCAGCGTGGACGTCAATAGTGAGTCACCAGGTAGGGTGAAGAGGAGAGTATAAAGAGCTGATCATGAGGTGCTGTCATGGACTCCTTCCCCAAGGACTCGAACACCTCAATCATCCTTTGTCCTCCAGCCACAGCTCCTAGTGTTTTTCCACTGGTTGAGCGCCAACTCTATACCACAACCGAGTATCGTGGGACCGCAATGCCACGCCGTTCTCACGACTCCATCAACACAGAGCCTCAAAAAGATCTACGATCTCAGAGACGCAGTAGGAACCGACTGGCGAAGCAATCTGCGAAATATTATGGATATCGTTGTGTGCAACCCGGCTGGATCGACCAAGAGTATTTGTCCATAAGCGGATTACCACGAAACCCCTTCTATCCCAGCCCTAGAATCTTCGCAAGCTCCGGTCCCCTTCTTACAGATGCCGCCAACTTCAAAGTGGCAACATGGACCAAACGCGACATGTGGCTGGACCGTGACGCTGACATTTGGCCACTCGACATAAGACGCCATAAAGGACGGAGGATAAGGGATAAATTCTGCTGGAAGTGGAACGAGCTAGAATTTGGCCGAAGGACGAAGCAGAAGTCTCGGTATCTCGATTTCGCCGCTGAGGATGGCGAATACTTGGCCGTGGACCTTGATCTCGACATGGACAACTCGGTTTACTGGGACTTTGAAGAACACTGGTTCGATGACCCTGATGAGATTCGCAACGATCGAAATGAGCGACTGCCCCGCTATGTCAGTCTCGATGGCGAACTTTACACGGAAGATATCCCGGACGAGGTCGACTCTGAGTACGCTGACAGTCTTTGCGAGAGCGAACTTAGACAGCTTTATCACGACACCGGCGACGGAGACGATTTCAGCATCATTTCAGAACTAGAGCTATTGGATACTCAATCCTCAGCTTCTATTGAAGATGATTATGAAATCATTTGAAAATGATCGAGAGGCCTGAGTCACTCATGCGCGGGCGATGACTTTCCAGTGTACATTACCTTATTACATTAGCGCTGTGTTACAATTCGGTGAAGGCAACTTCAATTGTCCCTTGGATTACAGGTTGACAACGAGTTTGTGGACGTGGGCCAGCGCCCAGATCAACCACAAACTTTTGAATAAGCATCCACGGTGAAGGCAGTAACTGCCCGTGACAGTCTAGGTCTAGCGAGAGCTTTTGTTCTATGGTAAAGACAGTGAGACATTGGAGCAATCCTCCCTTAGTGGAACGGGGTATGGAAATACTCTCTTATTTCCTCCCACCCTTCTAAGCGCCCACTACGCGGGTGACGCTTCGGCTGGCGACGGTCCGTCTCAGATAGACTCGAGGTCCCTGCCCTTGCCGTCGGCGCTCACATGGACCTTTGTCTTGCCTTCCAAGACGGGAGACTCGCCCATGCTCGACGCCGTGCCGCTGGCTTTGACACCATAGACAACACCCTGTTCGATCTCGTCCAGAGTACGGCCTTTCGTCTCGGGAATCAACAGCGTGCAGAGCGCAGTGAGAGCCATGATCCCGGACAGGATGCCGAGCACGGCAGGCAGGCCGATGGCGTCTGTGAGCGAGCCAAAGGAGAAGGCGGTCACCATGGCGCCGGCCTTGCCCGAGGCGGCCGCGATGCCGTGCGCGGTGCCGCGAACCCGGGTCGGGAACACCTCGACCGGTATGAGAAACGTGGTGCAGTTGGGGCCCATGTTGAGGACCAACTGCGACAGTGTGAACAGCGTCACTAGCCCGGCCGTGGAGCTGTGGTTGAGCACACCCGCCCAGATCGCGTACAGCACGGCGACGGCGGCGCTGCAGTAGAATTGCTGTTTCACTCTGCCGATCCAGTCTGGGAGGAAAATTCCAATGTAGTAGCCTGGGAGATATCCCTGTTTTTTTTCCACGGCGTGGAGACGTCAGTATGATCCGCTCGCTCACAATAACGAACTAGAGGAGTGGGAGATTCCATCTTACCGCAGCCGCCACGATGATGTTGCCCACGGCGGTGTTCCACAGGGTGTGCCACGGGGTTGGTCCCTTGCCGTATCCAATTCTCGAAAGCACGATGCTCTGATTGAGGTTGACTCCGTAAAAGGCAATATCGCTTGAGGGATTTTTTCGATTAGCATTTTGTTGCGGAGGATGGAAAAATTGTTTCGCTGGTCTAGCTTACAAGAGAAACCAGCACATGCTGACAGCGAACAGGACTTTGGCGTGCTTCCATTGCGAGAAATACTCCCTGAAATCTCGGAATTGCTCACGGAGCCCTCGTTTGCCGTCCCTTTTGAGGGATGTCTCCTCGGCAACATCTTGGGATGTAAGCACATGCCTCGTAAGGAGCTGAGGGTGGACTCACATTGTCGATAGGGCTTGCTTTCAGGCATTGTCAACCGGAAATACAGTGTGATGATAAGTGGAATGAGTCCAATGCCGAACAATAACCTCCACACCCATTGCAGATGGTAAATGTTGTCGTTGACAGACGACTTGAAGGCAGCAAGGAGGATGAGATAGACGATGCCAGAAGTCATGCCTCCAAGACCGATAGAGGCAAACACTGTCAGGACAAGTTTCGCTCTCGAGCGCAGGGGGTTGTGTTCAGCGGATAAAGCTGAGGTCATCGGATAGTCTGCGGCAATGACTTGAGCAACACTTTCGAAAGGGTTTCCCGTCACAGCTTACCTCCGCCGATGCCGATACCTGTCACCACACGAAACACGGACATCCATGCGACAACATCGTGGTGCGAGAAGCCCTTCCACGGCATCAAGATAACCAGCAAGGTTCCAAGTATTGTCACTATAAGCTCTTTGCCGTAGATCCTATGACGGCCCAGGGCGTCGCCAAAGATGCCAAAGCCGATCTGGCCCACGATCATGCCCATGGAGAGCGAAGCTTTAATCGTATCTGCCGGGACAGTAGGGATTGCGTTCGTCTCATCTTGGAAATAGAGATATCCGAGCATGGGAACAGCTGCAGGAGTCAGAACGTGGGACATCATGAAGAGGAAAAGGTGGACTTACCAAGCCCGATGCTCAGGTTCAGGTATCCATCACCAAACAGACCAACGCCCGCCACCACCAGGAATTTTAGAAAGGAGAAGCTGGAAGTTGTGTCGAGCATGACGACAGTGACCTTAATTTGTTGATGCACCTTGGCTTTAGGGGTATAAGTCGGTGATCAATCTCGAAACTCAACCTCATTGCCATCATTGCAAATATACATCTTTTCAATTACCTTGGTCGGGATGAGGCTATCGCTGAGATCTCGGGCCAAGCCCGCAGTGACTGTATATCCTTTGAAGCACATGTTTTCAAGCAAGACATGCTGTGAGGTGATCTAGACCGGCCATAACGAATCGAGGGACTCGGGGAAACCACGTGCAAATGTGGTTTCAGAGATAATCTGACAAGATATCAATGAGTTCTGAATGGCCCCTGTTGACTTCCTTCCGATGTCTGGGATGAAGACCGATGATCCATTGAGGATCCTGCGAGGATTAGGTCTTAGAGCGAAGAGGACGTCAGCCACCCGCCGACTGGGCCGAGTTGTCTAGACACGACAGCCTCGAGATGAGTGGGAAACGGGTGGCCATATATCCCACCACGTGGACACGGATGAGGAGAGAAAAGTGGCTTGTAATGACGAGTGCTCACAGTCATGAATTGGTGAGATAAGTTGTAATGTCAAAAGATATCTTGAATCCCGCTCAAGCAGCGAGACCCAATCACGTCAGCAGATTAAACGGCCGGCAATTGGTTGGAGAAGCACGACATTTGATCGACACGGCATCCAGGCAGAGTTCCCTTTCCTCCTTCTCCTCTCCTTGTCAAATTCGCCCGTAATAGCGCGACTGAAACCATGGCGACAAGTCCGAGCGACCCCGGCTCATCAGCAGTGCAGGCTCTGCGTGAGTCCTTTGGCGACCGCAAGCCTATCGACATTAGCCGGAAAATCACAGCGTGCGTTTCTTGCCGGAAGCAGAAGATCAAATGCCACATGGGAGATGGCACTCCACCGTGCGCGAGATGTAAGAAACGAGGACTCTCATGTGTTGTCAATCGCAGTTTGCAAATGCTCCTTGAAAGCGATGTAGCGTGAGTCTGATTCTCATTCACTCCTACCCATTCTATCATGAGACGACATGGGCCAGTCCCGTGAGGAGAGAGGCAATAGCCACGATATTTGGCGACAACCTCTGACAGCTGGGCGAACTCGCGGACGGCGCTGGTGCAGTGTCGTCTCGTCCAATCCAGTGTAGGCCTTTCACGGTCAAGGCTGACCCCAGCAGATGGAAAGCCAATATCGAAGAGAAATTGCGCATGTTAGAAGACTCTGTCAGGCAGCTCAATCAACGATCTTCGGGCGGTCAGAATGCCTCGTCTTATGTGCCCCAAGACAGTGCTTCTTCGACCATCCCAACCAATCAAGATGCTACCATGGCTAATGAGCAGCATCAACCGACGGAGCCAGGCTGGGAAGTCGTCATGGACCTGAACAGAGGGCCGGGTGTGGTGCCGGCATCTTGCGTGTCGGAAGTAGCAGAAGCCTCGCCAGAGGTAGCCCGTCAGAACATGGCTGACACTCTCGACGTCATTGACCAAGGTATCATCACGCTCGCAGATGCGGAATCCTTCTTCCAATTATACGCTCGGCGCCTTGATCATTTCCTGTACAGGATTCTGGCAGAGCACGACTCGCTGGCAAGCGTCCGGAGAAGCTCGCCACTGTTGACCGCCGCTATCTGTGCCGTGGGAGCCCTGCATACTCCCTCCAACTTGTATCACGCTTGCTACCAACACTTTGTCCATTTGGCATCTTCCAAGATGTTTTCTAAGAAGAACAATCATGATGACGTCCGCGCATTTTGCATTGGTGCCTTCTGGATAAGTGATATGTCGTGGACGCTCGTCGGAGCAGGCAAGTCTGCACTTACTGGTGTTTCCCGAGAACCTTGTGCTGACTCTAATGCCCCATAACAGCTGCTCGGCTTGCGGGAGAGTTGAACCTCCACCGCTGTATACCCAAAGCTCCTCACACAAAGCGTGCTTGTTATCTACGGACCAGATTGTACTATCTTGTCTTCGTTTGTGACCACCATTTCTCGATCTGCTACGGGAGACCACCCTTGACCAGGGATTTCACATCGATCACTCCTCCAAGTCAGTTTCTGCAGTCTGAATTTGCGACTGAGGACGATTCTCGGCTTGTCAGCCAGGTGGAGATCTGGACTATTAGCACTCGTGTCTTTGATCAATTTAGTCTGGATCCGGAAGCCCATCTATCGGATCAACTGATCCCCCAACTCCGCCGGTTAAGCATTGCGTTGGATACCTGGCGAGCCGATTGGAACGAGCGATTCCACTTCAATGAATGCGTCGGTAACTACCCCCGGAAGGGGGTTGGTCTGCATTACCATTTTGCGAAGTTGTTTCTCTGCTCCCACGCCTTTAGAAGAGCCCCTGTTGCCGAAGGCGAGCACCTCCAACTGGATCCGGACCTAGAGGAGTTCGCTACGAGCGCAGTACAGTCGGCGATTTCGATCCTGCAAGTCATTGCTGCAGATCAAGAGATCCAGTCATATTTGGATGGCCTCCCTGCCTACTTCGATACAATGATCGCCTTCGCCTTTGTTTTCCTCCTCAAAATTACCATCAGGAACCCAGCCAACCTGCGGGTCGACAAAGCCGGGATATCTGAGACTTTGGACGTGCTAGCTACCGTCTTGAATAATATAACAAGTTCAATGCACCCACGCCACCTGTTGACCAGCATTGCAAGCAGTGCTCGAAAGCTGTTGGATCGGTTCTCGGGCCAGGAAGCCTTTCCGGCACAGTCTCAGGCTGCGCCAGGCCCATTGACTTCCTTTGACCCAGACAATCAGTGGCTCAGCCCCACAGACGCCATGTTTCTCGAGAATTACGACTTTCTGTATTCACCAAGCGGCGATCTCAATTTTGACGGTGATCTCGGGTTTTCCCGTCATGAATAGGCAACACTATCTGGCAAAGGGCCTCTTACCAGTTAAGAGCCAGGTCAAAGGCATCGAAATTCCTCCACTGCCGGTCCTCAACTTGAGTGCCGGTAGGGTGAGATCTCAACAGAGGGATCAACTGCTCAGAAAGCCCACCGTGGGAGCGAAGCCGATGGCCATGCAGATTTTCGAGGGCGTGCTCTTCTTTTCGACTTCCCAGAACGGCATTCTCCTTGGCGACCAGCACGATGTCTCCCTCGCGGTCGAGGGGCATCTCGAACATCTGAGAAGCCGTCGGTCCGTCTAGGGCAACTTCGATTTCTGGAAAGGTTCGACAGTAGGTTAGGGCGTCGTCGATGCTGATGTCTGTTCGACTCAGATATACGCGCACAAAAGAGCCCAGTGCGCCGTGGTGGCGGACGAAAGGGTCTGTGATCGGGCAGATGACTCTCGAGGAGCCCTGGCCAAATTTCTGATCCAGCTCTTCTTCAACGAAAAGGACGTTTGGTGTTCCGTCATCCTTGGATTTGTCGCTCATTCCATGATCTCCGGTCACGACAACAGTCGCCCCTAGTTGGACCAAGCGACCGACACAGTCATCAACAGTCGCCATGAAGGCATTTGCTTCCTTGCTGCCCGGGGGAAATTTATGCTGGACATAATCCGACAGGGTAAGGTAGAAGAAATCAGCCCGGTCTTCTTCGAGCAGTTTGATCCCAGCCTTGAGCACGAACAGAGATAGGTCCCCTGAGTATTGGTCCGGAGCTGGAATTCCCAGCCACTTCTCGATGTCAGATATGCCGTTCTCGGCCAGGGTGCACTTGTCGGCATATTGGGCTGAGAAACAGATGTCTCCGCGCGCGCAGTTTAGGCCGTGGTTGATGATTGCCCTCAGCTTGTCCTTCGCAGTTATGGCAGCGACACGCACGCCTCGCTTCGACATCTGCTCCAGGATGGTTGACCCTCGAAGCAATGCGTCGTCCACGATCATTTCCTCCTTTCGAGTCGTCCGGTCCAAGAAGAAATTTCCCGAGATTCCGTGTACGGACGTTGGCGCCCCGGTGATGATGGAGACGTTGTTGGGGTTGGTGAACGATGGCATGGCGCATTTCGCGGTGGCAGCGAAGCCCGATTGGACAAACTTGGCCATGTTGGGGGTAACGCCGTCGGATATCCCTTGTTCGAGGTACTCTGGATCAAAGCCGTCAACGCAGATGACGACTGTGGGTTTTTCTGGGATCTTGTATTTTCGTCCGTGGAGTTCAAAGACAGATCGCGATGCTAACCATTGCGTGTTCTCGAGATCAGTTTTCCGCAACCTTTTGGGGCCATTGAGGGGAGCACGGTGCGCGTCACTTACCGAGGAGGCTCTTGGTCGCCATGCGTTCATAGTATTCCAGCGGCAGTGTCGCCATCTTGGGGACCTTGGCCATGTCGTCCCAGCGTCGAACAGCCAATTTGGCCTGTAGCAGGGGATCCTTTTGCGCCTCGGCGACCTGCTCCGGGTTGAATGTCCCGCCCTGGTTTCCATGTCTTGTCAGTCTCGAGTCTCTCCGGAGGGTGTTCGTCTCCCGCTCAGCTCGCCCACGCGAGACAGGGACAACGAGATCGTGCCAAAATCACGGACGACGAACGAACCTGGAATTTCAGAGTCGTCTTGCTCGACTGACTCAGCCCGTCGTAGTACCCCTGATCCACGGCCGTCAGATATCTCTTCGCCATGACGTGCGCGCCCACCAGCTGGCAAATGGATTCGTTGAACCCCAGGCCGCGCAGGTACTTCTCGCCCAGGACCTCGTGGCTGCCGCGGCCGACGAAGACGCCGTCCGGCGCGATCATGGCCGGCATCTTCGCCGCCGCGGGGATGAAGCGGCCCACGTCGTGGAGCAGCGCGCCCAGCACTGTGTCATCGTCCGCGCCGGCTTGGACCGCGAGCTGTCCGGTCTGCAGGGTGTGTTCGAGCTGCGAGACCTGTTCGCCGAGGTAGTCGCCCTGGCCTTGGGCGGCGATGAAGTGGAATAGTTCCTTGACGCATTCTCGCGCGTGGCGCTCGACGGAGGGGAGCATTTCTTTTTTTTTCGTTCTTCTCTCTTTCTTTTTCCCTTTTCTCCCTTTTTAAGAAGTCCTTTTTCTATCGACTTTGTTTTCTAGCGCTTAGATTTTGTTTCGTGCAGGGAATGGCAGACAGAAACTATACGTCTAGTTTGTTTTCAGACGAAGAATCAGAATGAGATGGAGATGGAGATTGAGGAGTTGAGAAGTTCGAGGACTCTTCTTTGCGGCGAGATATGTGTCTTGGATATTCAATCAATTTTCCATCCGCCTCCTTCCTCTCCTTGCGGCGCTTACAGCCCGTCAATTGGCTCTGAAGTGGTGATGGTCGGCAGATGCCCGAGAACGGGTCGCCTACGCCGGACTGAAGATCGAGCTTTGTATCCTGGAGATTATAGGCGTACGGCCATGTGCCGCCTGTACTGGCTCGGTGGATACTTACGCTCTCCCTAAGGAAGACATGACAAGTCTTTCGAGTGCCTGGAGGGTGTCGAGCAAGACCATCTCCTGCGATGCTTCAACGCGGAGTTCGACCGATTCCTTGGCGCCGGCATGAAGACCGCAAGGCTGCGGACCAGAGGGGGGGCCAGACGCGTTGAAGTCGTGCAGTATTAAACAGCCGGGCCATTTTGGCTCGCAAATTGGGATGATAGAAAACTACAGGCTGAAAGCTCTTTCGTCTGCGTGACGTTATTTCGAGAGTAAAGCTCGACTTCTATTTTCCTTCTTCGATTTCGCGAGATTAACCGCGCGAGTCCTCGAGCCATGCCGTCCTTCGTGCCGAGCCAGGAACTGGTGCAGCAATACCACCGCGACGGCTTCCTCGTGCTCCGTGCAGAAGATCACGGCCTCGTCACACCTGAGCAGCTACAAGCCTGGACGGGGGAGGTGCGCGAGTGGCCGGCGGAAAGGGGCAAATGGATGCCGTACCACGAGGTCAACACCGACGGCACGCGACAGCTCATGCGGACCGAGAACTTTGTCGACTACCATCCCGAGTTCCACACGTTGCTGTGCGGCGAGGCCCTGGCGAGGATTCTGAAGAGTATTTCGGGAGATGTAAGTTCAGTTCAGTTCCGCTTCGGCGCTAGTCGTGTCACGGCGAGTTGCGAATGATTGCTTACCTGCCTGCTTGGTCGCCCGCGGCCCTGTGAATGTTTTGAATGCATTGGACTGGACTCAAGTTGATCTATGTTCCGTGTTGTGTTTTTGCAGGACATGCTGCTCTTCAAAGACAAGATCAACTACAAACTCCGCTCGGGCAACGGCTTCGCGGCGCACCTCGACGCGCCCGCGTACGATCACATCGGCAAGATCGAGCACCTCACGGCCAACTTTGCCGTCGACGAAGCGACCGTCGACAACGGCTGCATCGAGGTCGTCCCGGGCTCGCACCGCATGCCCGTCGAGCTGTCCCACGGCGGCGCCATCTCCAAGGCCTGGGAGGACAGCCACGAGTGGGTCAAAGTCCCGCTGCGGCCGGGCGACGTTCTCCTCTTCGGGAGCCACCTCGCGCACAGGAGTGCGCCGAATCGCTCCCCGAAGAACAGGAGTAGTATCTACGCGACGTACCATGGGAAGAGTGACGGGGTGGATCTGAGGCGGAGGTATTACGAGCATCGGAGGGAGAATTTTCCTCCTGACCACGGTAGGTTTTCGAGAAGCCATTTCTCTCAAGATTTGACTCTGGTGCTGAGGCTGACGTTTTTGTGTCACAGAACGCGTGGCTGGAAAGGATTACAGCCAGGGTTACAAGACGTACGGGTTCGCCGCCCCGTTCATGTCGGAGAAGCAGGTCGATCAGGACACGGCCAGGGTACAGCCTGTCCATTGAGGCGGGAGGCATTGAAGGAACTATTGGAGGGGCAGAATTTCCCCGCGGGAATTTGTCTGAGGCCCATGCCAAGGTTTTATTTTCAAGTTGGATGGTCTTCCTCGTCGCTGTCATTCCGTCTCATTTGTGAGATATATGTAGCTGAGAAGGAGCTAGGTCGATGGCAGAGGCGAGGCGAGGCAAAGGCAAGAGCGCTCATGATTGAATGCTTCGAGGTCAGCCGTCGGCAACGGAGGATGTGCTATGTGTGTGATGAATCAGTCAACTCTCGGCGAGAGACACCTTATCCTCAATAAAAACATTCACCAGAATCAAAATGGGATGGACTCAAAGGCCGTGAGAAAAGGACAGTGGTGGACATTCTGCCCGTTTTTGGCCTTTAAAAATCCGCGACTGACACACCGCTTCCCCGTTCCCTGGCCAGGGCCAAAATGGCCATGCCGGCGGCAAGATCGGTCGAACTCACGCCAATACTCTTGTAAACCACGAAGCCGTTGGATAGCCATTCGTGGGGACTCTTGATTGTCGGAAAAGAAGACGACGATGACGAGGAACTGCGCGCCCAGGACAGCATCTCGCCCGCCTCGATGAGGTGCTCTGCCTGGAGCTGGCTACCGATGACTTCCCCAGAGCTTTTCAAGCATTCATTGCGGTCGTCGACGAGAACGAGTCCACCGCTCTGGCCGAGAGGGTGTTTTCCGCGACTCGAGTCGACCGCGTCGCGCAGTAGTTGCGGGTCCAGCTCGATCATGTCGGGTTGCCACGAACCAACGCTCGACACGTAACACCCTGTGCTGCTGCTGCTGAGCTGTGCTTTCAGATACCGCGCTGGAAACAACAGCTTTGCGGAAGGGGTGGTGCAAAACACGACGTCCGCTTCGGCCAGCAGACCTTCTAACCTCTGTTCGTAGTTTGGTGTAGTTGGTGAAATACAGGTCATCTTGGCCGGCGACTTCCAGCGCGCGTCGTTCTCGTGTTGCAGCTGGGTGACGAGCGACTCGGCCCTTTCTGCGGACCGGTTGACAATGGCGATCTGTGCGATCTCGTCACCCCTCAGCGCCAGCGCGAGCCGCAAGTGCCAGAGTGCCTGTTTGCCGGCGCCGAAGACGACGATGCGTGCCGTCCGCGCCCGCCACACGTAGGGGATCATCACGGAGAGCGACGTGCGATACGCGGTGATTTCGTCGGCGTTAATGATCCCGACGGGCACGCCGTGCTTGTCGCATAGTGCCAGGAGCCCGTGCAAGGTCGCATTGCTACCCTTTCCGGACGACGACTTCGCTGTCTCCACCGCCCCCAGCGCCTCGCTCCCCGCGGAGGGGTCGACGATGATCTTGATCCCCACGTTCTCGCTTGACGTGAAAGGCCGAAATAACGTCTTTGCATGTGGTCGTGTGACGACGACCGAGTCCGGCGCGATCCGGCGCTCTTCGGGCGTGGAGAAGTCCTCGAGCGCTTTGGCCAGGTAATCACGGACACGGTAGATTTCGTCCTTGGAGAGGGAGATGAGAATCTCGTGCACAGCCGCGTCGCCAAGGACGAGAAGACTGCTGCTCATGGTGGCTTGGCTTGCCTGGGGCCGAATGTCTCTCTCACTCTCACTCTGTCTCTGTCTCCGTCTCTTCCGGGATGGTTTTATCACAGACCCATAATCGACGCTATTGTGGTTGGAAGGGGCAAGGGCGGGAGGGTGGAAGGAAGCAACGAAGCAGGGAAGAAGAAAAGAATTTGATAATCCATACTACAATGACCTGGGGATGTGTGTGCTCCATAACACTAATACCCCGGACTTCATCCACATTTTCCCCCTGGAGAACAAGTTGGCTCAAAGGTGGAGTATCGGCGTCGCATCCGATGGAGAAACTGGGCGGCCAATACGTGAAACCCGGCTTGGGTACCCGGTCGTTCGGGATGTCATCCGAGAATTATTGTAGAGTAAGTAGTACCATCCACGCACTCCCCTGGCGGAAAGAGTAGAGTAGAGTAGAGATATTTCCTTATCCGGATCAAGCTGACGGAGATAGAGGTTGTGGTGTTGTCAGCACTGATGAATTCATACTATCTTCAGCGTCAATCTGCCGCTCACACTCACCTCAACAAGGGGCACGAACGGATGACTTACAATGGGTGTCGCTTCGGAATCCAGGATGAACTCCGTCGTATACTGGCCCGAAACGTCTGACAGACTTTGGCTAGAAGACACTGCTGGCCTAAGACCTTGTTCTCTGAGGTGTGATTCTTTTTGTGTGCTTTGTATCAAGGAATTCTGTATAACCGTCTCATCTAACGAAAGTCTTTGCACACACGGGTATAGATTCTACAGCTTCCCCCATTTCTGGTTATGTGCAACTTCACGTCTTGGAAACCTGCACTCCACATCATGCCATCGCTGAGCGATTCTTCAAGGATGTGCATCTTCTCTCAATGTACCGAGTTTGAATTGTCGGCGCATGAGAAGGCCGCGGACCCGCCGGACGCCTTGTATGAGTCGATAATACCAACAATGGATCCGTAGGTACCGCCGACCATGAGGAAAGTACCAGAGACGATGACAAAGATGCTCCATCCGACCATAAACGTCCACCAGCGGCCGCGCTCGGTCTTGGGCAGACCCCAATGATCGTAAAGCCACATGAAACCCATGGGCTGAAACGACAGTAGTGTACCGAGGAGGGCGCCGATCAGCGACACAAGACCGCCGAATACGGGGATGGCGCTGGCGATGATGTAGGAAATCACGGTGACGCCGAAGGTACATCCGATCCAGCCGGACCAGTGGACCATGGTATTGGACGTGAGATGTCGAGACTGTCTGAAGACGCGGATGAAGATGTACTTGGCAGCTAGCTGGAAATTCTCAAGTCAGGGGTCTGTATGGACATGCTCTGTATGGACATGCTGAGTGAGAGGCGAGACTTACATGGATGAAAAGCGTCGTGGACACCAGCAATCCGGGAATGGCGAGGCCGTAACAGACCTTCTTCATGAGTGCGCCTGCGGAGCCCAGAGCTGGAGAGGCAACATATGATCCACAGTAGTAGTAGACAACCACGCCAATTGTGATGTATGTTGCTGTCACGCCAGATTGGCAGATCAACAGCGCACGGGTGTAGTGTTTCGGGTTGCGCATCTCTGACACAATGGCAAAGAAGCCAGGAGTGCCGGCATATGCAAACACTAGGGAGGATATCGCAGATATAGCATCGGTGAAGCTCGGGTTCTTGAACAACTTGTAGTCGGAAGACCACGGTCCCACTTGAGGGGCATCGGCGGGTCGACTCTGCACACCGACAGCGATGGTCACAGTCAAGACTGAAGAGCTCGTTAGATTGGAGAAACAAGGTAGAGACGGGAGTGTATAGCTTACTTGCGGTGACGATGGAGGTGAGACCAACCCAGGCGAGCCATGAAATTCGGCCGAGTGTCTGAATGCTCCCCAACAAGCATCCTGCAATCGCCGCCACCAAGACAAACACAGCAGTACAGGCACCATGGGTCGAGACTGCGTTCAGCCCGATGGAGAGACCGAGCATGCCGGAGCCGCCAACAAAGATCCAGTCTGCAAAGGAGTCAGAAACTTGAAGCAATAGAGTGCGAGACCAGGACTCACACAGGCAAAAAGCAATTCCAAGAACCTCACGGCCGGGACGTCCAAAGATCAAGCCGCCGGCATCGTCAATACCATAGACTGCACGATGTCGAAGCTTGAAAGCTCCCACCATATAGTCGGACCATGTGGTAATGATGGCAATGGCTAGCAAGCAGATAACACCAGGAATCAACCCTAGCGTGTCGAAGACTGCTGGAATAGAAAGCACACCGAGGCCGATTTGGGTCTTCATCATCAGAGCAACCGTACCCAACCAACCCACCTGGTCGAGCACGTCAGCCTAGTCCTGGTATATATGTATGGAGTGACATGATGCTCACGTTGCGATAGTTGGGCCCCTCCTCTGTTACCTCCCCAAAGACAGCGTCATGTACGCTCACGGTGCTCGCAGAACGTTGGACATTAACCATTTCGCCCTTGTCTGTAGTCTGGACAGGGGCTAGGTCTTCAACGCCTTTATATTCCTTCGACATTTTGACGGCGGCTCTGTGGAAAAATGCAGGACGCGATGGTGCTGTAATAGTCAGGGCCGGGTTGGATGTCGTGAGACGATGGAGATGGGCCAGGAACTCTAGGGAAATGTTCTCACTTATCTACTTGTGACTTGCCCCTTGTACACGGCAGATTGCAGAGAAGCTTGAGCATGATAAGCCATATCCCGAGGGACGCATATTGACGTCAGGTTGTCGCATCCCCCAGCCTGGACCAGAAGCCAAAGTCGACTCTGGGTTTGATCCATAAGTATTGGTGGCACCTCCCCGCAAGTAACGGGATGATCCTGTCGTGCGTGTGCATCTAAGAGACTAGGCCCCCCGTTACTGCGATAAGTGGATTTCCCTGGGCCATTTCCGGTCGAGCTACCAGCCTCGATCCTACCCTCGGATCACGTCCCGATGCTCTGCGTGGGCGTCGTATCGGATCCTCAGCCGGTGATCCCCCCAAGGTTCCTGTGGCCTGTAGTAGGATTGGCCGAGGTCGTATAAAATGCACTTGATGTACGAGGCAGTGTGTCCATATTCTGGTCAGGAATGCCGAGGCAGCTAAGAGCCGGGGCTGCTGTACTGGATACAGGAAGTCCATGCGCAGTCTTTTCGATGCTACAGAGAAATGCTAGAACCACAGTCGGCGTGCAGTAGCTTGGGTGCGCTCATCTGGGTGTTTCCGAAGCCAAAATTGAGGCAAGTCTCTCGAATATGGACAAGGCCTATGATCTTGTACTTGCTCTTGTAAGTGCAAAATCAATTCTCGTCAATTCTAATTCCATTGCCATTCAAACTTCAGTTGGTGGTGTCGACAGTGTTTACAAGTGTCGGAGGAAATGATCTTTCAAGTCTCCGGTTCGTACCGACAAGCCGAATCGAAGCTTCACTAAGCCTTGCCAAGCCCTGCTAGACTCTCCCATTTTAGTGAGAATGTGATCGGGCAACCTGCTATTTGCGGTCGAGCTAGTAGCCGGAAGCTAGGCCGAGGGCAAGTGAAGCGAAAAATATATCGAAACATGTGGAATTCTCTATCAATCTTCTTATCATCCTACCCATTATTTGTCCGATCAATTCTCCGCTCCAGAGGATCTTTGATAAGGAGGTAGTAGTTAATCGTCTCTTCGTATCTCTCCGCCAATATTTGACATTGGAGGATGTGCACCACTGAATGAAAACTACCCGATGTGAAGAGCCTGACGTCCAAGCCGTGTATCGCTATCGTCCCTCTCTCATATCAATGGCCGACAACTGAATGAAGATCATGACCGAGTGACGAAGTTGTTGCAGCCAAAATTTCGATGGCGCTGGCTGTACGCCGTGCTGTCGGTTGTCCCAGATGTGATTGAAGACAAGGGTTGTTGACAGCACGGCGCCCTACGACGGTTCTCAAGAGCGCGTATCACAGATTGGCAGCATAATCCCTCTGTTGCCCGCCGAAACACCTGTCGAACTTTGGAAAGCATCTTACCACCTCTTGAAGGGGTGCTCTATCGTACCTATGCATCACGTTCCTAGCTGAGATATCTCTCTGACGCCGGCCCCAGAAAGAGCCAAGAATGGACAAATGCACGTTCAAAAGGCCTGAGCTGCTGATAACATCTAGTCGCTTTTTGCGAGCTTGCGCAGTTACGGAGAAGCTTGTCCGAATTCCAATGCTGAGACATCTAGCTCGACAGAGGACAGTCAACTCCTGACCCTGCGCTTCTTGGACGCTGACAAAGACCTTTTCACCTGGAGTGGAACTCTTGGTCCGAAGAATGAGGATGTTCCGACACATCTTTCAGCTCTGGATAGACTCACTTCGGCAAGCATAAGATTGGCTCATCGTTTCGAGGTTGGATGAGAGGACGAGTATCTTGGATTCTGTCGCAACTTTGTGCCTTTCGTAATCGATTGGATTCTCCACCGCGACGCCCATTCTTCCTCAGAGTGTTCGGCACACGCTTGCAGCGCTCAAGCCACTCGGCCAGAGAGATGAGGGAACTACGTAAGCGAGTGGTTGTGCAAATTCAGCAAGCCCAAGCAGTTGGACGAAAGCGACATGATATGCCTGATGATCTGGTGATCATCATGGCCCGAAGCATCGACTGGTACTTCTATGACACCAAGACAAACTCCCTCTGCGATTTATCATTGCATCGGTGCTCAAATTTGCGTCGCATATCAACGAAATGGCGATATCTTTAGTATCGACTTCAAGAACCCGTAACAACGGAAAATTATACGCGGTCAACCGCAGATCGGAAGTCCACGCCCGAGGAGCCGAAAACCTACCAAGACGAATGCCGCTTAAGGAATACGCCATCTTGACGCCCAGTCAAGCATTTACCATGTTGAATTGACTCAGTCCACCATTTTCACCAACATAGTGTGCTTCATAAGTGTCTCATGGATACTGGAAACCCTCTTGGTAACATGGGTAGAGCGTCTCAAGAGCACTCCCAATCCAACCATGATGAATTGGGTCCATTTTCTCCTGAACCACAAACGGCTTTGCAAAACACTGCTCCAGATATCGGGGCACTCGAGGCACTCGAGACATCGATAATAGAGCAGAGCAAAGTACATCGAACTACCTGGAGAATAGCCGCAACACTGGTCGCATTGTTTGTAAGCGTCTCGGCAGAAGCTTGTGGCTGGCCTACCTTCTTACTGATACATGTCCAGTTGTCCTTGTTCGTTGCTGCACTCGATGCCACCATCACTGCTACAGCTACACCAGTCATTGTCCATGATCTTGGCTCAGCCGTCGGATATACCTGGATCGGGGGTGCTTATCTACTTGCGAATGCCGTGGGAGCTCCAATATGGGGGCAGCTATCGGATATTTGGGGACGCAAAATGATCTTGCTGGGCGCTCTCGCAATATTCTTTGCGTCGTCCACCGTCTGTGCCGCAACCACAACGATGGCAGGAATGATTGTTGGTAGAGCTCTTCAGGGTTTCTCCAGCGTGGGCATTATATTGATTGTCCAAGTGGTGATTTCTGATCTATTCAGCTTGAGGTTGGTTTCCTCACCGACCTTTTCAGTCCAGAAGCTTAACTTTTCTCTAGACAAAGAAGCCTGTTCCTTGGACTGTCCCAAGGTGTCTGGGTTGTAGCTGGTGGCTGCGGCCCCATAATCGGTGGCTTATTTGCCTCTCTTGTAACCTGGCGCTGGTGTTGTAAGGGTCATGATGTTCGGTGGACGTCCACATACTGACAGCGACCAGTTTGGATCAATTTACCCGTTTGTGGCTCGTCATTCGTCATGACGTTGCTCTTTCTGCGAGTTCAACACACGAAAACCGCCTTGCGAGTCGGAATGAAAGCCATCGATTGGTGTGGCCTCTTGACCTTTCTGGCTGCGATACTGATGATATTGATCGGACTCAATTTGGGCGGCATCGTCTACCCGTGGACATCTGCAAAAGTCATCGTTTTACTTGTTGTTGGAGCTACCATGGTTGCCGTATTCATCTTCTGTGAAGCCAGACTAGCCGAATATCCGTTGCTACCGCTCGGTCTCTTCAAGCAATGGTCCAATGTGGCTAGTCTGCTTGTGTGCTTCTCACATGGTTTAGTATGGTTTTCCTGCTCGAAGAGAAATGCGTCTGCTGACAGCGGTTCAGGTCTTTATGGCTCTGGAATTCTACCTACCGTTGTTCTTTCAATCCGTCAAGACAGCCACTCCGCTCAAGTCTGGTCTGTATGTCTTGCCCATGGCATTATGTACAGGGCTGGCTGGAGTTGCGGCCGGGATGATCATCCACCGTTTTGGTAGGTTCAGACCGCTCATATGGGTTGGCACCTGTGTGATCTGCCTTGGAAGTGGCTTGCTCGTCATGCTCGTCACGGAATCTTCGATTGCAACCGCCCTCGGAATCCAGGTTGTGATAGGCATTGGGTCTGGGCTTTTATTTCAGTCGCCGATGATCGCCATTCAGAGCAGTGTCGATCAGCAAGACGTGGCAACAGCGACTGGCACGTTCGCGTTTGTCCGAAGCACTGCCATCGCCGTATCGGTTATTATTACTGGTGTAATATTCCAAAGCTCCATCGATCAAAAGTCGTCTATGCTCGCCGAGTCTGGCCTTCCATCATCCATTCTGGAACGATTAACGGGCAAGGAGGCAGCTGCGAACGTCATGATCTATGCCGAGATAGGGGATCCTTCTCAGAAGCTTGCTGTGTTGCGAGCGTTTGCATGGTCGACGCGCCAGATGTTTATCGCCACCACCGCCTTTGCCGGCTTAGGCCTTGTTGCAGGTTTGTTCGTCAGACACGGTCATCTGAGCGAGGAACACACTGAAACAGTCACCGGAATCAAAGAAAAGACGCCAGTCTCCTGAGCGCACAATCCTTATCAGGAACAGCATCAGCACACTAGGATAGCCGTCACTCTCCGCGACAACGAAGGGTGAATATGCACATTCCTCTGCGGCTATGCGCTACCGAGAACAGCGAATCTAGGAATGAATCCCTCGGGTTGCGCAAAGCAAAAAAAGCTTGGACGTAGGGACTCTTCACTCGAGCATCTTGCTACCTCTACAACCCTCAGAGATGACTGATTCGTACCAAAGTGATTGTGTATTCCTGTCAACTTAGAGGCTGGACGGATAGACACCGAAGGACGACGACGCCATCGCCAACCTATCTTCGTGTTGTATACCATTCCACAACCAAAATTGACTCCATTCCGGGTCATATCTGGGGTTAGCCTCCAAGCGGCATCATCGCAATCTGCGAAGACGCCGGACGAAGCGAGTGACCGAGATACAAATGCTATTTTAGCGAATTCAGACCAGATAATCCCGAGTTCCCGTATCTGTCCAAAACGGCATATCACCAATACAAGCTATACGTCGGCCGTTCTCCCCGAGCCTGGTGGATACCAGCGTTCGAGAGCCATCATTCCAGATTTAGTCTAGTACGCCTTCGTCACTTATGGACGCTATCATCAAGATATTGGACGTTATAGCCCTGTTGAAGTCAAGCGATAAGCTGCAGCAGATGCTCACTGTCCTTTTCTTCTCCCTGTACCTCTAACCCAAAGGCACTGTATTTGGCTGGTTTGTCTTCCATTTACAAAGACAGGAGTCTCAAGATGCTTCTATCGTCCACAACATTCTTGGACTTGGATAGTTTATTCAGGGTACTCAGTGTCTACAAATGGGTTGCTTTGCTTTCCCTGGGAGTCCCCTTACTATGGATTACCCTTGACTATGTGAGAGTGCTACGATTGCGACGCCGGATGCCTCCAGGCCCGTTTCCCCTGCCTATCATCGGGACTGTGGGTAGAATTCCCATGTCAAAGCCCTGGATCACGTTTGAGAGGTGGGCCAAGGAGTACGACAGCCCGCTGATCACCATCTGGACGGGCACGACCCCAACCGTGATTGCAAACGACTGTTGGAGCGCGTCGGAGCTCATGGACAGAAGGGCGAATATCTACTCCTCAAGGCCTCATATGGTCCTTGTCGGCGATATGTTTGACGAAAGCACGACGAATCAAACCTCTTTGGTCTATGGGGATCAGTGGAGGACTCATCGCCGGATCATGGTCATTGCACATGTATATCTTTTTCCTCCTGGGTTGAAGCTGACCTACTCTAGCATGCTGCCGTCGGGGCACAAGCTGTCCGTGCGTACCGCACGTTCCAAGGCAATGAATCTCGTGTGCTGGCTCTCAACATACTCGAAAGTCCTGATGACTATGTAAATTCTATCGAAAGATACTCCACCTCCGTCGTGTCGATCGTTGGTTGGGGCCGACGAATCCAGGCCAACAATGATTACGTCCTGGGGGTTGCACTGTCCTTTGTCCAGAACGGTGCCGGCTTTTCGAGTCCTGGTCAATTTCTAGCCGAGTCGTACCCATGGTTGTGCAAGCTTCCCTCGTGGATCTACCCGCTGCCTTCGATCCTGTGGAAGGAAGGCCAGAGGTCGCTCAAGTACTTTTACGCTCTGTCCCTGGAGGCTTCGCTGTCAAAGATTGACAACTTCTCAAAGCACCTGATAAAATTACAGCAGCAATACGGCCTGAGCTACAAGGAAGTGGCCTCCTTGACTGGAAATCTGATAGGAGGTGGCGTGGACACAACGACCACGTCGACAATCTCCTTTATCTTTGCCATGTGCCTCTTCCCGGAGGTACAACGCAAAGCGCAGGAGGAGCTTGACCGAGTCCTTCCGAAGAGAGATCGCTTCCCCACCTGGACAGAGGAGAATCGGCTCCCGTACCTGGACGCCATTATTACCGAGAACTTCAGGTGGCGATCGGCCATTGTCCTAGGCGGGCCTCCGCATGCGCCCATCAAAGACGACGTCTACAACGGCTACTTGATACCCAAGGGAACCACCCTGATTGGGAACCTATGGGCCATCCACCGCAATCCGAGAGACTACCCGAGCCCGGATGAATTTCGTCCAGAGAGATGGCTGAACGAGGATGAACGCCGACCTAATCCTACAAAGCGAGGCATCTTCACGTTCGGCTGGGGAAGACGCGCCTGCAGCGGCCAGCCCATGGCCGAGCAGGGCATTTGGTTCACGTGCGCGGAGCTACTGTGGGCTTTCAAGATGAGGGCCATTGATGAACATGCAAGCATTTTCAGATCCTGTCATGCCATGCCCGACACTGCTAACATATACCAGGGAAACGATGTCAAACTAGATCCGTTCGCCTACGACGATCGATCCACGTCGCGTCCACTGCCTTTCCGAGTCGAATTCAAACCACGATTCCCCGGCGTCGAGGACATTATCAGACTCGAAGCGAAAAGAGCGCTCGCAGAGCTGGAGATGTACAACGGGGAGACTGCTGTGACGATGGACAACGCGGAACAATTCCTCAAGTAATAATAGCTCGCGGATCAGGTCCTTTCTTTTTTCGGGATCTGGAATCTCTTTGTCGAATATATGCCACGCGCCCTTGAATCTCCTCTCAACTTGGGAACTATTCCCGTGCCCACGGGACCTGTGATGTAGGGATGGGCGGCTTCCTTCCTGATTCAAAGTACGCCGACACCTCGTCGATGAATTGGCGTCTCCTTCTCGACCCCGTTGCCAGCACGGCTAGAGTGGCACGTTAAATCTTGCCTTTCACGCCGGTTGTTCCGCGCTTTGAGAAGGGGGGGTGAAAGGGGGTTTACTACTCACCAGGATTGACGTCGCTCGTGTATTCGCCGTCCATGACTAAGAGGGTGTAGCCCTTGCAAAATCCGTAGGTGATGGGAAAGAGGCGGATGGTGGTGACGACGCCGACGTATTCGAGCGGCAGCTTTGACCAGTTTGTGCTGAACTTGATCATGTAGTCGAGGTGCTGTATGGATTTCCAGCGTCAATCAATCACAACTTCGTAAACCCTCGACGAACAGCGATATACACACACACCCCCTCTCCACGGTGGAAGAGGGTTTTGGGATCATATCAAGCCACACAGAGAGAGAAAAAAAAGGGGGTACTTTGCATACGTCCAACGCCTCGACTCGGCAAATGATTTCATGCTCGTCCTTGAAATCCCACCTGACAAACTGCGTCTCCTCGCCCTTGTCGTCGTAGATCTTTTCTGTCTTTTTCAGACCCGAGTGGATGGGCTCCCACTGGTGGATTTTGGAGACGACAGCCCAGACGTCCTCGACGGGGGCTTTGATGACGCCGGACTCTTTCACGTAGGCGGCCAGGGGGAGGAAGTTCATCTTGGTCAGTACTGAGCAAAAAGGGGTATTTGCGCGTGTGAGAGGCCTTGGTCGGTATTATCGTTGATGGTGGCTTCTTGCTGACGGCTACATGGTTCCTGATGGTCGTCCGAGGTATATATGTCCTGGTATTTGGTCGTGTGTAGCGTTCGGTGCTTTTCCCGAGCTCTCGGGGCGTGGCAGGGCGATCTCCAAGGCCCAACTCGGCGGGGAGACGGGCTCGGCAGGTCTCGGCTTTGTCATTATCATGTTTCTCAAGTCAAATGGTCGCTATATCCAAGAAAGAACCGTTGACAGCGGCAGAGGCAGGGCACCGACGTCACACACGGAATGCTCCAAGGGGGTTTGATGGAGCTATTATGGACGAAATGTCTCTGCCACCACTGATTACGCTCGAGGAGCATTTCGTCTCCGCTCACCTGCTGTCTCATCTCTCTGAAATCTACTCGGAACAGCTGAAGCACCTCCCAGATGTAGCGTCCAAGCTGCTGGACGTGGACGACATCCGGCTACGGGACATGGACACGAATGGCATCTCCTTGCAGATTGTCTCGCATGGTCCCGGCCCAAGTACTCTGCCGCTGGCGCCGTGCCGACAAGCTAACGACCAGCTCGGCGAGGCCGTGAAGAAGCATCCCAGGCGATTCGCAGGGTTCGCCGTCTTGCCCATGGCTACTCCCGAAGACGCAGCCGGCGAGCTCCGCAGGTGCGTCGAGGAGCTGGGATTCGTGGGCGCCCTGATCGACAACCACGTCCATGGCCAATACTACGACGCGCGCGAGTTCTGGCCCGTCTTCGCGACGGCATCGGAGCTGGACGTGCCCATATATCTCCACCCCATCTACCCTACAGAACAGCAGCAGCAGTTGATCTACCAGGGCAACTACAGCCTCGGGGCCGAGCGAGGTATGGGCTCCAGCAGTTTCGGCTGGCACCAGGACTGCGGGCTGCACGTGCTGAAGCTCTTCGCGTCGGGTTTGTTCGACGCGTACCCCAAGCTCAAGATCATCATCGGGCATTTTGGGGAGATGCTCCCATTCATGGTCGAGCGCGTCGAGAAGCTCTGCGTCCGCTGGGGCGATCGACAGCGCGGGTGGCGACAGGTCTGGGACGAGAACATCTGGGTCACGACCAGCGGCGTGTGGAGTCTGGCGCCGCTGGCGTGTCTTTTGCGGAATACCGCGGTCGAGAGAATCCTGTATAGCGTGGACTATCCCTTTGAGAAGAATGAGAATGGGCTGAAGTGGATCAAGGAATTGCAGGAGAGCGGCATGATTACGCCAGAACAGCTCGAGATGATAGCATTCCGGAACGCGGAGCGACTGCTGCGCGTCAAGGCCGGGGGGAAGGTCACGACAGCGACAGAGAGCAGTCTATCTCAATGAGCTTTAGGAAAAGGTGCTGGAGGAAAGAACAACCCTGGTCTGGCTGTAATTGATTCCTTGGAGGTAGCAGCCATGATCTGAATAGTACCTGCTGTGTCCGCCTGAATAGAGGAAAGTGATCCCATGTGGATTCCCTCGGTGCACGTAGCTTCTGGAGCTCGTATATTCGGCGTCCAGTCTTGCCGGTCGCTATAGGTGCCAGAGCCGGAGGTATCGACCCGGCGTTCTGTAAGGAGGCGGAGTGTCTCGGACGCGAGGCCATGCAATCCTTGTCCATGTGAGGCCCTGCTGTGATTCGTCCCACTAAATGCTTAACACATGGGCCATGTATATAAATTCCACAGACTACGTGCACATCAATTCCCTTCCTAATATTGCCAGAGACTTGTCTACAACACTGTTAAATCCCTCAACAAAATGAGTACGTTTCAGAGCAGCCTCGAGGCCCGGATCGCCGAAGGTCCCAAAGGCATCTTGTCTGCTGTGGTAGTGGGATTCGGTCGAGACGGAAAAGGTAACGATGGCTTTGCAAGTTCCAAGCTACAAGAAACATGAGCTCACAGACTCTCTAGATGTGGTGATGCGCTACGAGAAGAGCGCGGGTCGACAGAGCTGGAGCTCGGATACACCAGCGTCTCTGGACAGCACCTTCTGGGCGTTCTCTTGCACGAAGCTCCTCACCACCATTGCCGCTCTGCAATGCGTCGAGCGAGGCTTGTTGACGCTGGACACCGAAGTGGCGACCATCCTGCCGGAGCTCAAGAACCCTCAGATCATCGTCCCGGACGGAGACTCGTTCACGCTCAAGCCCGCCACGGCCAAAATCACTTTGAGACACCTGCTCTCACACACCAGTGGCCTGAACTACGACGCCATGAACCCGTTGACGATCGCGTGGAGAAAGTCCCGAGGCGAGGCGCCCCTCGTCTTCAGTGGCCGCGTCAAGGACTCGTACTCGACGCCGCTGCTCTTCGAGCCCGGCGAGGGCTGGGTCTACGGAGGCTCCATCGACTGGGCCGGCATCCTGGTCGAGAGACTCAACGGCAACGTCAAGCTCCGCGAGTACGTGGAGACGAACATCTTCAAGCCGCTGGGCATGAAATCTTCCACCTTCGACATCAAAAGCCGGCCGGATATTCAGGACAAGCTGCTCGAGATGAGCCACCGGGGCAGTGACGGCCTCCTCGTCCCCTCCACGTCGCCTTACACCGGCTCCTCCGCCGAGCATAGCGGCGGGATGGGCCTCGTGACGAGCGTGGCGGACTTTGCTGCCGTGCTGATGGATCTGATCAGGGAGACGCCGATCCTCCTCAAGAGCGAGACTGTTGAGCTGATGTTCAAGCCTCAGTTTCCCGTTGGGAGTGCTCAGCACAAGGGACTCCTTGCTCAGGATGTAAGATATACCCTTCCGCCCTAGAGACCTTACTTCTTCCCCTTCTAGAAGTTCACTAACGATAATGAATAGTCCCTGCACAAACAACTCACGGGCATCGAGAGTGGCGACGCTTCCGCTCCCATCAGCTTCGGCCTGGGAGGCTTGATCACGGTGGAAAAAGTCCCCAACCTCCCCAAAGGTACGCTCGCCTGGAACGGCATGCCCAATATCGGGTGGTACGTCAACCGCGGTCTGGGCCAGGGAGGCTTGTTCGTCACCCAGATCTTGCCGGCGGGAGACGAGATCAGTGTGCAGTTACTGGGCCAGTTGGAGAGAGATGCGTGGAAGGCCTACTACGCGCACCATGGCGGGGGGTAGAATGCCATTAGATACACAACTACCCATAGCAAAAGACAGTGTTATATAGACGGTCTCGCAGGCCTCCAGATCGGATAGACTTGCAATTTCTCCCAGTCCCAGACTTTCCCAGTAACTAGAACGTCGCGCTTCAGCCGTTCCAAAATCTCCTCCTTGCTCTCTGCGTACACGAGCATACAACTCCCCGTGATGGACATGGGTTTCCCAGCCAAAGCAGGCTCATCCAGAACAGCGCCTGTGGTTCCGTTTTGATTTTTCCAGGTCAGCAAATTTCGAGGGCGAAAGCAATCAAAATGCGAAGTGGTGCGGATAGACGTATGTACATACCTCCAAACACCCAGAACCCAGCAGGATCGTTCTTGCGGTCCTCGCCGTGTTTACTGGAATGGTCAGCGAGAAGGTAGTTCGGAGACTGAAAGGTCTCACTTACGCGAGGAGTTCTCTTCTTCGATCCGCGGTATCGGGCAGGTCGTGGACGACGATCAGCCATTCCGCCTTTTGGGGAGGTGCTGTCGCCATTGTTCTTGCACGGATTGTACGGATATACCCAGTTGGATGTACAGACGATGCTGATGATGATGGTGGTGGTGAAGATGCGTGTAGAGACCGGCGGACAAGGCGCATAAGGCTCCCTCTGGAATTCAAGCTATATGATTGTGAGGGTTGTGCAGTATGAATGTCGGGTTCCTTGCTGCCCTTCAGCCTCTGTCTGACCGGACCCTGGATGTGTTGCCGATGCAAGGCTGAACAGGGGGTTCACTAGGCAATGCCTCGCATCCGCCGTGGTCAACGCCATCCGCTATTGCCATTGGTCAAGATCCTGTTTACACCCTCTTTTCAGCACTGACCAGTCTCCACAAACGCGGCCTCGCAATTCATCGGCCGAAAAACCCGAAGTGAATCACAGTCCTAGATGGCACTGACTTGGCTGCTGTGGCGGATCCGACTTGGTAGAGATCAAACCCAGAGTCCATGGTCGTGGTGATATAATTATTGGTCACTCGGGAACGTACTCAGATCAGGAGGCTGTGTGGTATTCTGTGCGTAAATCGTTCGTAAAGGATTGAGTGGCATCGTGGAGGGGAAGGGCATTTGTGGTATCCATCGCCCGGGCTCATATGTGCTCTTGCCAGATGCTTTGTGCCCGGTAGATGCCGTACATTCAATGTTGGGAATAATCTGTCCACAGTCCATCGCTCGAGGCTATCGATAGGACTCTGTGTCAAGCTTGATATGGGAGGCGAAAACATCTGCCGTCGTTCAAGTATCCGAGTGTATCAAGGCTTGTCAATGGGTGGGCACGGATAAGGTCTCGTAGATTTTCAAGACACTGGCCATCCGTCGTTGAGCCATTTGCAATTGTGGGTGTGTCGTCGATAAGTCTAGGCCTAGCCACTGGTTCAGGGCCCAAGCACCCAAGAAGAAGGTGGAGGAGGGAAACTCTAGTTACCCCGCTCCACGCCAATGCTGCCTGCGCCCTGTGCCCCCTGCGGTCGTGTGTGCGAAGCATCCTAGGCACTCTCAACCTCCCAAGTCTCCCTGCGCCAATCTACGCCCTCAACTCTCTCGTTTCGACGTCAGCCAAAATATGTTCTGAGTACCTAAACTACTACGTCCACCTGCAATACGTTGCTCATTCCACATCCCATCACAATTGGCGCTGTATTTGATATTGCCGCCCCCAACTCAGGCCACGATTGTTTCCCGTCCTCCCAAATCCTCCCAGACCTCGTCCCCGCATGGTATGACACCCGGGGCTACTCCGCCAAACAGCGTTGAAAGCTAGCACTCCCTCGGGCCATAATGGGCTCTCGAGATCCTTCACCTACAGAACTGCAACTGCACCCACAGGCCGGCAGCACCACCACGAACCAGGACAGCGAACGTCCCTCTGCACAACCACAACACCCTCAACAAGAACCTGGCCAAGAAGAGGATGAGCCTCAGACAGGACCAAAAGATGCTATTCAGCCTCGAGTATGTGTGACATGTCGCCGTCGCAAGGTCAAATGCGACAAGAGGCAACCCTGTCAAAACTGTGTCAAGACTCGCACCGAATGTGTGTTTCCATTCAAAAAGTCGGCCGTGGAGCGCCAGACTGCTGCCGATGCTGAACTGTTGCATGAGTTGAGGAGACTGGAGCCACTGTTCCAATCCCTGGTGTCCAAAATCAACGACGATGGTGCTGGTGCTGTGGAACGATCCTTGCAGGCCATCACCAGCGCGGCCATGGAGGCTGCTGCTGCTCCTCCTTCTCTTCTTCCTCCTCCTCCGCCACCTCCTGTCATTTCAGAGCAGCCCATCCCTCGCGCCATTGCGCATCCTATCGAGCCACCAGCGAACAGCCCAATGATTCTGGATTTGCCAAGCCTGCACGGCTCGCCAATGACCATTAACTCAATGTCCGGGTCTGAAACTACGCCGTGGAGCCCCTACGGCACGACTGTTGGTAAGCTGGTCAAGGATTCGGGCAGGCATCGCTATATCAGCGGTCTGTTTTGGGACTCTCTACATACAGAGGTGAGTGTACTGAGCCGGTCGTGATTTGTGCTCACCCAAATTCGCAGGACGACGATAGCTTGTCCGATTCTGAATCCGATACATCTGATGATCCGGCGGCGGACGATTTGGTCGATGACCAGCTCTATCTTGGTCACGTCTCCACGGGGAGAAGTGATCTTCGCTCACGACATCCACCGCAGCAACATCGCTTTCGGGCGTGGCAACTGTTCCAAGAAAACGTTCAACCTTTAGCGCCGATATTGCATCTTCCAACTGTTGGACCCTTGGTCGTGGAGGCGCTGAAATCTGCAGACGAGCGTCCCCTTCCACCTCGCATCGAGCCATTGATTTTTGTCATTTACTATGCCGCTGTCACCAGTCTGACCCCAGAGGCGACCCGGCAGGAATTCGACGCTGATCAGGCCGTCCTGTTAAAGAGGTACCGTGTTGGCCTCCAGGGTGCCCTTTCACGTGCCAAACTGCTTGATACCGACGAGATCCTTGTCTTGCAAGCTTTTGTTTTGTTCTTGATCATTCTGAGACCACACGATCCCAGCCTTTCCTGGAATCTCACGGGGTTGGCGGTGCGTTTGGCTCAATCGAGAGGCATGCATCGAGACGGGAGCTTCCTCAAGCTTTCAAAGTTTGATTCAGAAATGAGGCGAAGAGTGTGGTGGCACATCTGTCTACTGGATGCTGCCTCCTCTGAAGATCACGCTTGTACGCCCACCACGTAAGTAACCCATATAGACCCTAGGAGGGGTACTCCGGGCTAACAAACTTTGGCCATATAGTCTGGAAATCAGTAGTTTCGATGCCGCACTGCCCTGCCGGGTCAACGACAGCGACTTGTTCCCAGACATGACAGAGTACCCTCCTGAACGTGAAGGGTTTGTGGATACTTGCTTCGCCAATGCTCGGTATCGATTTGCGGACATTTGGCGGACTGTAATTGACAAACGACGCCCCGCCGGCGCGGACGGTAAAAGCTTTGCATCAATGACCATGCCGGAGAAGGTGAGCTGGGTCGAGGACCAACGGCAAAAGCTAGAGAACGAGTTTCTTCGCTCCACCCCCAACGACCATCCTCTGCAATGGGTAAGTTCAAGTGCCCAGTCTGCAATGCGACCACGAGCTGACAACCTCCAGGTCACCGGGACTATCGTGAAGCTTCTGATCTGCAACCTTCGCCTTTTTGTCTATAACCCGCTGTCGCAAAACAACTTGCTGACCGAGGAGGAAAGAATCACTGCTTTTGTGGAGGCTGTTGCAGCCTTGGAACATTCCTACAGCCTCAGGACCGACCCGAGAGCTCGCAAATGGGCATGGTTGCTCAGCTGCTATCACGAGTGGTTTGCGTTGGCCGTGGCATTGGCCGAAATGTGCTCCTACCCTTTGAGAGACCACGTCGAGAGAGCTTGGCGAATTGTGGAACAAAGTGTAGTTCTCAGGTGGAACTCGTCGCGAGATCACAGGCGCGCTCATCAGTGGCGCTCCATCATCAAATCCCTAGACAAGGCTAGGGCAGAGAGGAAAAAGGCTCGAAAACGCCGGCGCTCAACCTCCTCTTCTCAGGCAATTACACGAACCGCCAAAATTGCAAAGTACGCCGCGCATCCCTCAATTGCGCCACCATCGGTCCAGAATGCTTTACAGGTGGCTCACGGGTCAGATAGCACAGCACAGACATTGGTCCAGAGACCTGACACAATCGGACTCGGGGATGTGGATATTCATGAGGGCGGCCCTTTTGGGACGTCCAGCATGCTTCACTTTGATGCTGACCTTCCCGATGACAGCCAGACAATGGATCCGTTCCTGGGGACGGATTTCGATCCTAGTTTTCTCGACATGAGATCATTTGAGAATCTTCTACAGACTCCTCAAGCGGCGGGGTCACATTACCGCGATCCTGGCTAGAACTATCTATGGGGAATGAATGTCAGGGGTATTGTGGACGTCTCGATGCAGGACCAAACTTGAACGTCAGGTGAACTGGGTTTGAATGGTGATCTTCTTCTGGATACCATTTGCTCTCACTCTGAATGACGACCAAGATAGCTGTCTTGCTCGTCTTCGGAAGCCCTCAGAATCGACCCCTCCTGGCATGGATACAATCAACCTCCCATCAGCTCCACCGCCGCGCTCCGAGTAGGATGGGGTTGCCAGTTTACACAAACATTCCGTACAAGTCGCACGGTGGCTCACATATAACAATGCAACGACAATCATTTGGTCACAATGGCTTATCCTGGTGGTTGGTACTCTCAGGGGAAGATCTTTCAGCTTGTCGCGAAATGAAGGATAATACCAGCGTCACGGATCCTCCCTTGCTGGAGCGCTTTACGTCCCAACACACCTAGTCCCAACGCGCGGCAGAGCAGGACAGCTGCACCCCTGGTCATAGCACCTTGATGGCAGCGAAGCGGTTCATTGACGAACTAATCTCGCCAAGTATTGCTCCAGTTCGGGTTCGGTCAATTCGGAGATGCCGAGTGCATTGTTGTCGTTGTTCTCATACAGGCAACCGAAATCCGGTGCAAAGGCCCCGCGAATTGCGTAGGCGTTGAACACCCGCAGGCTGAAAATGCCCTTCGCCGCTTCTTCTTGGACGTCTTGAACCAGCTGGGCGGAGCTGACTGGGACGACAGTCCATTCCTTGCTTGGCTCGAGTTTCTTTGCGATTTCCAATAGACGTTGCTGGGAAATGGCAACCTCGCTGATCCGAACAGGTCGATTGCTGAACTTTTCAGGTTGCAGTAGGATCTGCACAACTGCTTGGCTAATGGGCGACAAGGTTGAGGTGGAAAATTTGTGAGCGCCGCCGTCGTAGATGCGAATTGTGTTGGTTTTGAAGTCGAGGATGGAACCGACTCGAAGACCGAAATCGAGGATCACGTTGTTGTATATATACGTGTATATCAATCGACTCTTGGATGCTGCTTCCTCCAGATATGCTTCCAGGGCCACTTTGCCCTTGTATATCGGAAACGCGGATATCTTTGTGTTTTTCAAATCTGCCCCAAATTCCGAAGGGATGAAATGCTTGACGCCAGCAGCCACTGCAGCGTCAATCAGATTGTGCTGGATGCGTGCCGTGTCTCCTTTGCCAATGGCTGAAACCACTGCGTCTTGGGCACGGAGGGCGTCGGTGAGGCTGTCGACCGAATCATAGTCGACTTGTTTGTACTTGACACGGTCACTTTTGACGTGGTCATTGCCGTTGCTGTGGGTTGAGCGAGTGAGAACTGTCACATCGAAGCGGCCAGACTCGGACAGTGCCTTCAAGATGGCTTGACCAACGAAGCCAGAGGCCTGTCAAAGTCAGCACCCACAGCATATTAGAACGAGGTCAGCCAGAATCACTCACCCCGCATAATGCCACAGTCTTGATGGTAGACTCTGTCTTGTCAACGGCCATGGCGAGCAATCGAAATAATGTACTGGATTTGGATGCGGCGAAGTATTCCTACAGACACACCACGATAGCGGATGCACTTGGTGGAAACTTCCAATGCGTGTACCTACATACTCACAGCACAACCTCGTGAACCTCTGATGCACATCGTATTAACGGTCCCTGGCCTGATCGTCTAGCCAGCCGGTGGTAGGTGGTGAACGGCCGCCTCGCCTGGATCGCCCCGAGAGACTCCGTATGGGGGTGGAACGGGGTTTGAGGGACGCTCGGGCAAATCCATCAGCAGCCCGAACCCCTCGAGTACGGGGCAGTTCCATGTCCATGTCTGGGCCCCGTCCCGCCCTCCACGGGCTGGCAAAGGGCAAGAATCAAGATAATTCGACCAGAGCTTGCGTGACGGCGTCGTTCTCACCGCGGGTTCCTTGTCAAGGTAGGTATGCATTTCCACTCCCTCAACCGCGAAAGAAATCGAATGGTGAATTGACTCTCTAGAATATCTCGTGCACGGATAGAGACCTGGTCTGAATCGTTCCACAAGTTTCATAGGAGATTACACCATGGAAATTCGCATGACTGGCCTTATACTGTGTGTCGTTGCGGCCATATACACTATCGTGTCGCTATACCGAAAAGTCACATCGCCAGAATGGTCCATTCCAGGCCCCTGGCTCGCACGCTTCTCACGGATCTGGTACTTCTGGCACGTACGGGCAGGTTCATTCCACCACGAAAACATTGAACTGCACCGAAAGTACGGCCCCATCGTTCGCGTCGGGCCCAACCTGTACTCGATCGCCGCGCCGGACAAGGAGGTCTACGGAATTGGATCCAAGTTTCGCAAATCGGACTGGTACGAGGGCTGGAAACATCCCAGCCCTGACAAATGGGCCCTGTTCGCCGACCAGGACATGCGCAGGCACGCCGAGGCCCGGAAGCGGTTCCAGGGCCTGTACAGCATGAGCGCGCTGCTGTCGTACGAGAAATACGTCGACGACTGCGCCACCATCTTTGACCACCGGCTGACCGAGTTCGAGAGGTCGGGCGAACAGGTCGACATGGCGCACTGGTTCCAGTGCTACGCCTTCGACGTCATGGGCAACCTGACGTACTCGGAGCGGTTTGGGTTCTTGGACCGGGGCGACGACATCGCCGGCACGATCGCCGCGCTGGAGAAGTCGGGCGTCTATTCGACCCTGATCGGCATCTACGCCTGGCTTCACCCGTTCGTGTACCGAGTAATGGAGTTCCTGCCCAACAACGGGGCTTCGGGGAGGACGTACCTCATGAACTTTGTGCAGCAGAAGATTGACGCGCGAGAGAAAGAGCGGACTGCGGAGGGTACGAAACCGACAACAACAGCAACGCAGATCCAGCAGAGCCAGCTCGCCCAGGAGCAACAGGAACAGACACCGCGAGACTTTCTCGACAAGCTCCGCGACGGACACCTGGAGAACCCGCAGCAAGTGACCAGATACCACATGTTCATGATGGGCCTCAGCAACATCATCGCCGGCTCCGATACGACCGCCGTGTCGCTCTCGAGCGTGCTATTCCACTTACTCACCAACCCGCACTCGCTGGAAAAGCTGCGAACAGAGATCGCCGAGTACAGAAAGTCGCAGACAGCCACACAAGATGATACACCGACCCTCCCGTTCAAAGTCACCCAGGACCTCCCCTATCTACAGGCCGTCATCAAGGAGGCCCTCCGCATGCATCCTGCCACGGGCCTGCCGCTGTGGAGGGTCGTTCCTGCTGGGGGCGCCACCGTGCTGGGCCACTACTTCCCCGCAGGCGCGATCGTCGGCGTTAATAGCTGGGTGGCGCATCGGAGCGAGGAGGTGTTTGGCACGGACGTCGGTCAGTTCAGGCCGGAGCGGTGGATTGAAGCGAAAGAGGGGGGTGATGTGGAGCGGTTGAAGCGCATGGAAGCGTTTCATATGCCGGTACGTCCAGTCCAGCCCAATACGGTCGAGCTGAGTTCACTTCAGTTCAGTTCAACTCAATGAGTGAAATCACTCTCTAACCCTTCTTCCCTACCTATCCCTTCCCTCTTTCAGCTAATCTCCCTTCCCCTCCGCCCTCTCTCTCCCCAGGTGTCCATAGCTAATCTCATCTTGTCCATATGAGTACACAGTTCGGCCTCGGCTCCCGCACCTGTCTGGGTCGGCACATCTCTACGCTCGAGATGAGCAAGCTGGTCCCACGTCTGGTCGAGCACTATGACTTTGAGCTGGCCATGGACCCCAAAGACTGGCACACCGTCAATTACTGGTTCGTCCGGCCTGAGAGATTCCCTGTCCGGGTGAAACGAAGGGTTCCGACGGGGGCGTCAGGGGCGTCGTAGGTGTGGTTGGTGTTGTCGGCCATATTGGAGGGGAGTTTAAGTGAGGCTTCGGGGAAGAAGGAGAGGAGAGGGAGAGGGAGGAAGAAGGAAGAAGGAAGAAGCAGAAGGAAGAAGATACTGTGATAACGATCTGGGCGACACTACTCAGTCTATTACATTGGAGAGGAAATGCTGAGGTAGGAATATCGTATACATGTATTTTCATGAATAGTCCCCCAAAAGAAGAGCAATATCATTTATTGTAAATCATTCCCCATATACGCCGCCTATGTATATGCATGTATGTGTGTGATGTGATATGTCTGTCGACAACAATACCTTCCTATTATATAACATTGCACTTTTGCTTGTTTGCTTGGGTTTTGAACGTGTTACACCAAGGGCACGGACATGGCTTTTAATCCTCACACTACGCGTCCTTGACAAGTTTCGACCGATCAATGTGAAACATGGCAATCAACGCCTCCTTGGCCTTGTCCATGTTCAACCCCTTCTGCTTCTCGGCAATCTGGCCCGCGCTGTCCCTCAGCTTTGTCCGGACGTGCGACCACTCGAGGGTCTCGTTGGTGCCCTCGACGGTGACGGGGCGGAGCTTGCCGTCCTTCTTGCGCCACACGCCGTCGATCATGACGGCCTCGACGTCGCGGATGTCGCTGTGCCGGACCACGGCGGTGAGCGGGTCTGAGTCCGCCACGCAGCTCATCCCCGTGCTGTGCAGCGTGTCGAAGACGACCAGGTCCGCCAGCTTGCCTTCGGCGAGGGACCCGATCTTGTCGCCGAGCTGTACGGCGCGCGCGGCCCGGATCGTCGCCGCGTTGAACGCCTCCTCGGCGCTGCCCCGCAGCGTCAGTGCCATGGCCCCCTGCTCGACGTTGGGCAGGTTACTCTGCTGCCGCGCCATCTGCAGCGCCGAGCGGGCCAGCCCGAGGATCGACGACGTGTTGTTGGTGTGGCAGTCGACGCCGAAGCTGAAGTTGACGCCGGGATGGAACGCGATGGGCCACCCGAACCCCATCTGCGCCTCGGTCTCGGGCGTCGACGAGACGGGTACTTGCGATGATACGAGTAGATCGGTTTCCTGAGCCGTGAGTCCCGTGGCGTGGGAGAGGAGGATGTCCGACGGGGACTTGATCAGTCCGTAGGCGTTGAGGGTGTTGATTAGAGGGTGTTGACCTGGCATGACGTGACATGACATTTACGAGTTAGTCTTTTGGTTCGCCATGAGCATTTTAGGAAGTTGGTCTTCGTCACTGAAGAAAGGGGCGCACCAGCGCGGGGATGGGATCATGCATTAGTTAGATGGCTATACATACCAAAGGTAGCGTTCTTGGCATAATGACTGGTGAAATTCTTGACGCCCGCGTTTCTCAACGCTTCAAAGATGCCCGTCACCGCCTGCTGCGGCAGGAAGTAATAGTCAAACGCAAACCCGAGGGTCACGCGGCCGTGGCCAAAGGGCTGTTTCGCCGCGAGTTCGAAGAGATGGTCCATGGTGGATTTGGGCATGATGTCCATGGACGGTTCGCACGTGTCTTTGTCCCATTTGGTGAAATACGGTGCGTGACCGTAGGCGAAGATGGAGCGGATGCCAGACGCACATGTTGCTGCTAGAGCTTTGGTGACTGGTTCGCGCAATTAGAAAGGAGAGTAGCAGTAAGGCTGTCCGAGAGGAACTCACCGTGCTCCCTGGTTTGGCACCCGTGCGCGTGGTCGAGCACAAACGTTGTCCCCGCGTCGATGGATTCCAGCGCACCGCCGAGCTGGCCCCAAAAGATGTCTTGCGGGCTGTACACGTAGCTCTGCCAGAATCCTGTTGAACCAGTCAGTGCGCCCACGACTTGAATCCAGGCATGGGAAAAGAACGTAGAAACTGTCGCTTAGCACCCACCACTGGGAATATAATCAAACACCGACTGCTCCGCGTGTCGTCCCTTCAACTGCGTCTGCCACAGGTGATGATGCGTGTCGATGAAGCCAGGACTGATAATCTTGCCGCGACAGTCGGTAATCGCCGCGCCCGAGGGAGCAGACAATTTCTGTCCGATCTTGACGATCTTGTTGGCCTGGATGAGAATGTCGGTGTTGCGGAGCACCTCGACGTTGTCCTTTTTGCCGTGGTAGAGAACGGTGCCTCCTTGGAGGAGAGTTGTAGCGGCAGCCATCTGTTTTCTGCTGGTCCGCACCGGCGAAAAAATAAATTCGTGTCGAGGGTACCTCGGATATTGCAAAAACGGGCAGAGGTATAATTACGAGTCGAGCTCTGCAAGTGGTTAAGACTTTTTGCTTTTGCTGAAGCCGCGAACGTCCAATCATATCCCAAGACGCCGTAAACAAAAAGTACGCCGCCAGCGGGATCCGCCTCGCCGCATCTTGGTAAAAAAGGGGGAAATGGCGCGGGGTGCGTCGGCCGGTCGTGCCGAAAGCAGGAACGGCCAAATTATTGGTCAGACGAGAGCCTTGCACGTGATGCTGCCGAAAATGGCAAGTCTTGAGCCCCACATATATTGTCTTACTATGTAGGTTCTTACGCAGCTACAGTTTAACCCATCATGCACTATGATAAACAGGGACCGATGTAGAAGTAGTGCGTCAAGGGTACTAGGAGAAGACCATCTTGTTGTGTATCGAGCCTAACCCATCGATAGTCACACTGACTACATCGCCGTTCTTCAAGCACCCGTTCGAATGCCACCCAACACCCTCCGGAGTCCCCGTCATTATAACGGTCCCACGGCGCAGAGTCCGCCCGTTCGAGCAGAACGCAATGAGCTGCTTGCACGTCCAGATCATCTCCGACGTCGATGCTTCCTGCCTGACGCTCCCGTTCACCTTGGTCACCAGGTGCAACTTCTGCGGGTCGGGAATCAGCTTCGGCGACACCAAATAGGGTCCGATGGGCCCGAATTTGTCAAACGACTTCGCATAGCCCATCTGCCAGCCTGACACGTCTGGGTTGTTGTAATATCGTGCCGAGACGTCGTTGCCGACGGTATATCCCAGGATGTAATCCAGGGCTTGGTCTTCGGGGATGTTGATCCCGTCTTTGCCGATGACGAGGACCAGTTCGCCCTCGTAGTCTACCAAGCTCTGTGCATCTGGAGGGATGGAGATGTCCTCGAGAGGTCCTGCAAGTCGGTCTGGAGGTGTGGCGAACACCACAGGCTTCTTGGGCGGGGTGAACTAGAGATTCATGTCAGAAGGCAACCAACATCTTGCATTTGTAGGACGAAAGAGAAATGTACCTTCGTCTCACGGGAGTGAGAGTGGTAATTCACACCGGCACAGAGTACTAGCGGAGTTGTGCCGAGAGGGTCAAGTAGCTTCAAAGGAGGTTCAGTATAGCACTTCGTTGCAATACAGGGAATGAAGGGGCGTTATACCTTGTGCACTACCGCTTTTTGAGGCGTTACCTGGAACCCCGATTCTAGATCACCGGAAACCAGTTGAACTTCTGAACCTTCAATGACCTTCACGTCGACCTCTTGACCAAGATTACCATAGTGTGTTGTACCATTTTGGTCGATAAATCGAATGAGTCTGTCAAATGACATGATGGGATCGGAGTTCACAAGGTCGCTCTTGATACACAGTCCGGATTGCAGATTCTAGACAGTAAGCGTCTGCGAGTGTTAGGGATATTGAAGTATAGTCGTACAGATTGTTTAGTTGTTATGTCATACAACGGTCCAGATTCACGTCCGGGACATCTCCAAGTATTTCGGCCTTGTTTGCCGCGACTGGCCGAAATGGGATAGTCGAGCTTGACTGCGGTCAGCGGGGCCCGTAACCGTTCTACCGATGATATTATAGCTCAGGCGGGGATGGGAGTGGCCACCGAGGGATTTCAAGCCCAGTCACTCGTACATACCCCTTCACTTCCTCTCATAGTCGACAACGAGGTTTCTTCACCATCCAGATCAAATCCTTCCAGTACGGTATCTCTTCTCTGTGCCCAGCCATGACGGACAAGATCTTGATAGACCGTCTCTCGCACTGCCGCTACGGCCACCCCGATCTCCAAAAGGCCAAAAAGTTCTTCATCGACTTTGGCCTGATTGTGGAAAAGGAGACGGACGAGAAGATCTATTTCCGCGGATTTGGCAAGGATGCTGTCGTCTACGTCGCCGAGCAGACTCACGACGGCAAGCGACGGTTTCTCGGGGGTGGCTGGATCGTGAAATCGCTGGCGGATTTGGAAAAAGCAGCAAAGGTACCTGGAGCGACGCCGGTGCATGACTACGAGGGTCCCGGGGGCGGCAAGTGCGTGATCATGCCGGATATCATGGGCGAGGAGATCACGCTCATTTGGGGCCAGACGGACCGGACGATCGATGAGCGAGAGGCTCCCAAGCCGGTCAAATGGAACACGTGGGAGGAGAAGCGTCGGTATGGAGAGTTCCAGCGACCGGAACGGGCGAGTCCTTCCAAAGTGCACAAGTTGGGCCACTATGGGTTCGAGGTCGATGTCTCTCGACTCCCCGAGGTGGTAGACTGGTATTGCAAGACCTTCAACCTCAAAGAGACCGATTCTCTTTGGCACGAGCAAAGCGGGAAGATCATCATGACTTTCATCCACATTGACAAGGGGAAGGAATATGTCGACCACCATGTAAGTGATCGTTCTCGACCCTCGTCAGCACGTTTCGCTAAGTGTCGGTACAGAACATCTTCATCGCCGGCGGCCCGATTGGGGATGGCATCAAAGCACACCACAGCAGCTTCGAGGTTGACGACATGGACAGCCAGCTGGTTGGCCACCACCACCTCCAGAAGCAAGGCTGGATCAACGTATTCGGACTCGGCCGTCATGTACTGGGGAGCCAGATTTTCGACTACTGGTAAGTCTTTTCTGTCTACCTGACAATCTCTATATCGACTTGTTGTCGTTACAACGATACTCACAAATCGAGCTTTAGGTTCGACTCCTCTGGGTTCCTGGTCGAGCACTACGTTGATGGCGACCTGGTCAACGAGGACAAACCGCATGAATTCGAGCCTGCGACGGCAGCAACGGTCGCGAGCTGGGGTCCGGACATCCCGCGAGCATTCTTCTCCAAGAAACTCGAGGACGTTCCGGGCCTCACGGAGATTCCTGTTGTCCCTGCCGAAGCTTAGAAAAAGTCAACAGTTGAAAGGTTATGTTGCGTAGGATTGGTTTGGTCGAATGCGAGTATAGGTCTCTAATGCAATCGTATGTTGGCTTATGCCATACCAGTTTGACATGCCGGGTGAAGGCGAGACCGTAACTACGTAGTATCCTCGACTTTCCGGTCTTGCTATGCACATGCTGACTTCACGTCGATACGGAGTGAGGCAAGCGGCACATCGCTCTGTAGATAGGAAGGCTATACCCGCAAATCGGCGGCTCGGCCGACCGGATCTATATTTTATTCGACATGGTATCAAGCCGCCATTTTCCGCGCAAAGCATGGAACGGCCATCTGAATCACATGGTACAGCTCCCAAATATGATTGTATCCTCATATCTTTTGATCTCCTATGAGCACCGCCCTCAAAAGCGTTCGTACTCGACTACAATGGGGTCTACCGGAACAAGCACGGCTCAGACGATGACTGGGAAAATCACCGTCATTTCAGGATCGTCCAGAGGAATCGGCGCAGCAATTGCTTTGGAGCTGTCCAGTCGAGGCGCCTCAATTGTCCTCAACTACCCTTACCCCGATCTCAAGGCAGAATGCGATAGTGTGGGCGCGCAACTCAAGACCGACTGGATCTCCGCCTGTGCTGACCTGTCCACCGTGGATGGACCCGCGGACTTGATCCGTCAAGCCGTCGAGCGGTTCGGCCACATCGACATCCTCGTCAACAATGCCGGCTGGGTCCCCATGGCGCCGCTGTGGGAGTCCGATGTCGAGACGTGGGACAAGGCCATGTCGCTGAACGCACGCAGCGCGTTCCTGCTCACGAAAGCCGCCCTGCCTCATCTCACGCCGTACACACCTTCGAACCGTCTTGACGCAGCCGGCGCGACGAACGGATCACGCATCATCATCGTCGGCTCCGCAGCCTCGCGCACTCCCCGCGAGAACCAGGGCATCTACGCCGCCACGAAAGGCGCACTCGACTCGATGATGCGCGTCTGGGCGAAAGAGTTGCCGCCAAAGTACGGCTGCACGGTCAACGTGGTCGGGCCTGGGCCGGTGTTGACCGACGCGTTCAGACAGAACCTGGGAGATCACTTTGACGAGGTGCTGGAAGCCGCCTCGCGGGAGACGCCGGTCGAAGGAGCTTTTGCGGCGGTGGAAGATGTCGCTTGGACTGTGGCATTTTTGGCCGAGGAGAGGTCAAAGTTCATCAATGGGGCATTTATGATGCTCTCGGGAGGAAGATATATGCAATGAACCAAAAATGCCGTGGCTAACAGGGTATCACCTTGGGAATAGTGGCGATATAGATCTTCAGGTTTCAAAATCTCGTACTGTAGCCATCGTTCAGGTTGACATCAAAGTGAAGGATCATTTCTGTGTTCCAATACAGCACATCCAAGACTTGTATTGATCTCTGTACATGATATCTATCCCAATTTCAAATCCGAATCCTCTATCCCTCCCCCACCCCCCCCCCCCCCCC